CGACCCCCAGATCTTTTTCTGCAGTTCTTCTTCCTAGACAGTCATTTTCCCATTTTGTGTTTATGTAATTCTTTCCTAAGTGTAGTATTTTGCATTTGTCCTTATTGAATTTCATCCTATTTATTTCAGGCCATTTCTCCAGTTTTCAAGATCATTATAGATTCTAATCCTGTCCTCCAAAGTGCTTGCAAGCCCTCCTAGCTTGGTATCCTCTGCAGCCTTGCTGGAGGATTCTCTGCTCCTTGAAGTCTTTAAACCACGATTTGAGGACTTCAATAGCTCTGACATAGGTGAGAGGTTTTTCGCAGGAGTGGGTGGGTGAAATTCTGTGGCCTGCGTTGTGCAGGAGGTCAGACTAGATGATCATAATGGTCCCTTCTGACCTTAGTATCTATGAATCTAAGTGTACTCCCTTTGCCATTATCCAAATCATTTATGAAGATACTGAGTAGAACCGGATCCAGGACAGATACTTGTGAGACCCCCCTCAATATACTCTTCTAGCTTGACTGCAGACCACTGATAACTACTCTGAGTACGGCTGTCCAACTTTATAGTAGGTTGGGTGAGGCTATGTTTCCCTACTTTTGTTTATGAAAACGTCATGTGAGGCATTATCAAAAACCTTACTAAAGTTGACACATTACATCTATGACTTTCCCCAGTACCCAAACATAATCTTGTTACTTTGTCAAAGAAGGAGGTAGGTTAGCTTGTGATTTGTTCTTGTCAAATCCATGTTGACTGTTACACACTACCTTCTTATATTCCAGGTGCTTACAAACTGATTGATTATTTGAACCTTTATCTTTCTGGGTACTAATGTTAAGCTGACTGGTCTATAATTCCCTCGGTTGTCCTTTCCCCCCTTTTTTATAGAAAGGTACTAGATTTTCTTTTTTCCAGTTCTCTGGGATCTCTCCAGTCTTTCACGAGTTCTTAAAGATAATCACTAATGGCACAGAGATCTCTTCAGCCAATTCCTTCATTTTGGGATGTATTTCATTAGGCCCTGCCTACTTGAAGACATCTAATTTGTAATTCTTAATTTGTTCTTCCCATATTTTAGCCTCTTAACCTTCCTACCCCATTCATACTTATGTTCCATATGTTAGACATCCAATCACTGCTAACCTTTTTGCTGAAAACTGAAACAAAAAAGGCATTTAACACTTCAGCCACTGCTGCATTTTCTGTTATTGTCTTTTTCCCTCCTCACAGAGTAATGGGCCTACCTGTCCTTGGTCTTCCTCTTGCTTCTAATGTATTTGTACAATATTTTCTTGTTACCCTTTATGTCTTTAGCTAGTTTAGTCTTGTTTTGTGTCTTGGTCTTTCTGTTTTTGTTCCTATTCATCTAGTTTTTACTTTTTTGTATAACTTTTTTGAATTTCAGGTAATTGAAGATCTCCTGGTTATACCAGAGTGGTCTCTTGCCATAATTCCTATTTTTCCTGCACACTGAGGTAGTTTGCCCTTTAATAATGTCTCTGTAAAAACTGTCATCAATCCTGAACCCTTTTTTCCTTTAGACTTGCTTGCCATGGGATCTTACCTACCAGCTCTCTGAGTTTGCTAAAATCTGCCTTCTTAAAGTCCACTGTCTTTATTCTGCTGTTTTCACTTCTACCATGCCTTAGAATCACAAACTCTGTAATTTCATGATCACTTGCACCCAAGCTGCCTTCCACCATCACATTCTCAACAAGTTCCTTCCTATTTGTCAGAATCAAATCTGGAACACCCTTTTCCTCAATAGAATCAAGGAAGCAACCATCTAAAGCCCATTGCTGCACTTGGAGTGAATGTATGGATGGGTGTGTGTATATGCTCCAGCATGAAATACTCACTATGTTAAGTATCTGTTAGCAGAAGATAAATTGAAGGACTTTCATTAATATTGTGGCCGCTGGTCGGAAAATGTGTTAGTTACATGTCAAAGTTAAAAGATACCAAAAGTTGGGATAATACCGAAGTTAGGAGAATCTCTTTCTTCCTTAGACCATTAATTTGATTGTAATTAGGCTGCCGTCCGTCATCCATTTGAGCTTATAGCTACTAACCTTTTTCTGTTTTAATCTTTTATAAAGTTGCTCTATTAGTCATATTTGCCTCTGCTAGAAGAGTAAATGAACTGTTTTTGTTTCGTTTGCAGACATCTGTTTGTTGTTGATTATGATAAAGTAGATGTTTGAACTATTCCCAGAATCCTCCTTAAAATCAACGTCCATTGTCAACCTAGAAATTTCACATCCATCTCTTTGCCCTAAACTTAGATAGAAAAAACATCATGGGACCTTCTAGCTATGACCAGTTTTAAAATTGTACATGGACCACATGGTTCTTTGGTGGACCAAAGCATTGTCTGTGTGAAATAAGTAGCTGACAGGTATCAGCATAACAAAATGCCAGAGTATTTAGCACTAATTAACAGTCTCAGCAGATAAGGCCAGGAATTAGTGGGAAATAGCTAAGAAGGTAGTTTGGCCTCTATCTTTAGAGGAGGCTTCTCCAGGTTTGAGTTGAATCACATTGGTGCATCATTTTGATGAAGCTAACACTATTACCACCAATGCTGTATTGTCATGTGGGTAAATGGCAGCCCTCGTTCTGGGCTCCCAGTCCAAAGATTTTCACAAGCAGTGTTTTCGTTTCATACTTTTTATAACCAAATGGAATTTTTCTTTTTCAAAAGATTTGATTGCTTGACTCTCTGCTGATATTTCACTAAGGCAATAAGAATGCTTCTGGCCTCAAATAGCTAAATGGATTTGTAGGTCAGTTTTGGAGGCTTTTATCCAGTGTCTGTTAAAGTGATTTCATGTTCCTAGACCAAAAGAAAAGCTTCTGTGAAGAGCGAGACCCTAAGCTAGTGCAAAGTGCTGTAGTTCCATAGGATCTGGCCCAAAATCTCTAAGGCAGCCCCCTAGACTCGACACCTTTACAGCTTGAATTAGAGCCTTTATGCTGTAGGCCTCTAATCTTTATAACCGTCTCTTCTTTTCTTTCTCATAATTGTTCCTTTAAGGTTTGTTGGTTTTTTTTTTTTTTTTTTAATCATGGTTAATTTTACTTATAACCACGAGTCTGTGTTATGAATATTGTATAAACAGAAAGGAAAATCCCTATGTGTAAATTTTCCCCAATGTAAATTGGGGTTCCAGAAGTTCCAGGAATGTGGATAGACATCCATGCTACTCTTTTCATGATCCTATTAACATTAATTTTTGGTTTGGGGTTTTTCTTTGATGCGGGGAAAGAGGAAAGCAGGTAAAGTTATGATTTAGCCTAGGAAAAATTATCAAATATCTTCTCAATCTGCAGAAGATACAGTCTCCAGTGGATGGGAGAAGCCTTACTGTTTTGATTAGTCCTTTTGTTTTCCTTGCTTAGTAACTGCTGGAATGGAAAGTTCACTAGTAGGGAAAATTTCCTGTCATAGACTTCTTTTTTTTTTTTTTTGTGCTGTTTAAATTAGACGTTCAGGGAGATCCATAATTCTGAAGTGTGACTCAAGAATATAAGAATACAGCTCTTAAATATTTTTCTTCTGATGAAATCTGTTTTGGACTAGGGGAGGATTATTTTACGAATTTGTCCTCATGGGGTAACTGCATACATTACTTCTTTAACTTCAAATGAAAAGAGCCACCAAACTTGATTTAAGAGATTCTGAGATGAAAGTTTTTGAGACTGCTCAGTTTGGATGAAATACATATATTTTTCTGATCTGCCTAACACTTAGTTGGGCATCAAATGTATAATAGTGTAATGTCGCAGAGAATGGGGACTGAAGGGTTATTTGGTAATGTTGTTTTCAGTGTTAAAAACAAAACAAAAAAGCGTGAGGAAAGGGTTGTATGATCATCCTTGTATAAAAATAGCAGGGTCACCTTGTTCTTTGAAATTGATTTCACTAGCATTAAGAAATGCAATATCCTTCTGCTCATCCGGAAAGTTGCAAACCATTCATTTTTACAGGTGTCCATTGTGTCCTAATCTTTAGAAAATAGAGAAGGCAATGAAACTATTGGAGCTGTGAAAGTATTGCATTACAAATTGTGGACGTCTGCTGGGTAGCAGCGCTGGAAACATAACATACTGTTTATGCTGTGAGCAGGACTCTGTCATTTAAAATGCGAGCAAAAAATATATGACTGCCTAAGCCACAGATTTATAGCAGGAAATCCTCACCATTTAATATGTTTGTCAGAAAAATAGCTGCGTACTTTTCATTTTTGTGGGATCTGAAATCACACAGAGCTAAATTTGGAAGTGTAGAAAGGAGTGTAAATTACACAGAATTAAATGATTGTGAAGGAATCAGAATCTAATAGTCATATGTATATGTATATTTCGAGAAGCTGGAAGAAGTTGTAAATTAAAGGAGGGAGTTACCCCTTCTTTGATTTACCTTTGTAGTAATTGCATTTTCTGTTGCTCTTCTCTTCTTGTCCTTCAGCTTGTGAGTTGCATCATCTTAGATGCCTCTTACTTTTCTGCATACTCTAGGATTTAGATGTTAGATTTTTTTTTTAATTATGTTTTCATAGGACATGGTGCTCTCTCATTGATAGCACAAGGTATGTCTTCAGTTTTGTATCTGATGTTGATGGTCATTCTAGACTTTGGCTTATGATGTAATAACTTCCATGGTATGTCTGAAGCTTCTTACGTGCTGTGATTGGATAGACTAGCTCCTGGAAAGATCAGGGAGAAGGGTCAACCTAGTTCGGATGAGTACTGCAGAAATGCAGTTGGAGAGATTTTCAGTGCCTCTTCACCTTGAAGATCCATTTCAAAGCCAATACATAATTAAAAATAAAACAACTCTATGGTTTTACAATATGACTACTATTATTTTAAAACTACAGCCGCCCACCTTCTAACTCAGCCAGTCTAATGTGACTTATGAATAGATGAGGTTTTGGGAAAAATTCAAATGCACATGGGAATGAAGGAAATGAAATAAGTGGCTTTATGTTTATATTTCTCCCTAGAAAACCTGAAAAAGGAGTCCAGTACCTAATTGAAAGAGGTTTTGTGCCGGACACTCCAGTTGGTGTCGCCCATTTTCTCCTGCAAAGGAAAGGTCTCAGCAGACAGATGATTGGAGAGTTTTTGGGCAATCGACAGAAGCAGTTCAACCGAGATGTATTGGAGTGAGTAGTGTGTAAGGGGATGGGATGGAGCACTTAGGTATTCACATGTGCCCTGTGGGACACTTAAATGGGCTAATGCTCATGGAATATTTTGTGCATGGAATGAAAGTTCATGGATATTTTGTGCATGGAATGGAAAGAAAAAACTGCCAGACTGTAAGGATTAACAAAGAACAGGCAAAAATAAATACTCTTACTTACTTACCAGCAATGCTAACATTTCTCAACAAAACTGATCAAGTAGGATGCTTATAAGGATTTATATACACTACAGAATTCACGTTTACTGTAAATTTATGTTGCAATTTCACTGGGGAGGACTGTCTGTTAATTTTGAGACCGTTTTCCTTCTTCAAGCTCTGAAATAACTTACTGTGTGAAATTAAAAAAACAAAACAAAACCCATTATGCGCTACATGACACTTCATCAGTAAAGGAACATGAAAATAACCGTTACTATTTTATAGATACACAGACACTTCTTATGATGGCGTTTGTCTAATAAGGGTGTCTGAGAACCAGTTTCTTGCAAAGGATTAGATAAAAACCTATTACAAAAGGGGAGCAGCAAATTACACTCACCAACAGTTTGGTTAAGGTTATTCAGATACTGTCTGTTAAGGATGGAGGTTGCTTTTGTTTATTTTAAGTGATTTGATATTTCATTTAGCAGCGACTCTTTTCAAGACCAGTATGGATGACGTGCTCACTAGCAAAGCTCGTTGCATCTTGCCCCAGATTTATTGACTTGCGTGCATGTGACTTGCATGAAGAATTACCACTTACTGCACAAACAGCCAGTTAGATGTTTAACAGGCTATGTAACTGCATCGGGTACATTGGGAGGGGAATACCCTTTTCCCAGTGTAAAAAGACAAAACAAAAATTCTAAGCGCACAGTTTTGGCCAAGACCACAGCAAAAAATTGCTGAGATTTGCATAGAAATAGTCCTTATTGAGGACTGTATGCATTTCCTGGCTTTAGGGCCTGTGGGGGATTTTAAGTTTAAAAACGATTGGAAAATCTCTTTCTGAGCCTGGTCAACAGAGGCTTAATTCAGCCCCCATGGAAAATCTTCCCTTGACTTTACTGGAGGTGAATCAGGCCCGAGGAGCCCTACTCAGCATTACTAACTCACTAACCTCTTGTGATGTTATCCCAAGTCTCATAGTAGTTGGTGTTTCTCTTAAAGCCAAGCTCTAGGAGCCATGTGATTACATGAGAACCTGGGCATTTATTTTTTTAAGTACATTTCTAGCCCTAATCAATATGGAGAAAATCCTGAACCTTTCAGAAGTGGTGTGCCGAGTCTTCATTTATTCACTTTAATTTAAGGTTTCGCGTGCCAGTAATACATTTTAACGTTTTTTAGAAGGTCTCTCTCTATATGTCTATATATTTACATAACTTAACTATTGTGGTATGTAAAGTAAACAAGGTTTTCAAAATGTTTAAGAAGCTTCATTTAAAATTAAATTAAAATGCTCATCTTATGCTGCTGGCCCACTCAGCCTGCTGCCAGCCTGGGGTTCCATTCACCTAGGCTGGCAGCAGGCTGAGCGGGGCCTGAGGCCAGGACCACGGCTGGCAAGGGGCTGGCAGCCAGAATCCCAGACCGGCAGCCCCAGACTGGCAGTGGGCTGAGCGGCTCAGCCCACTGCCGGTCTGGGGTTCCGTCCGCCGGCTCCTGCCAGCCAGGGTCCCGGCTGCCGGCCATGCTCAGCCCACTGCCGGTCTGGGATCCCGACCCTGCCCACATAGAGTGGGTACGTACCTTCTCCCTGGTTCTAGCCCATTCTCTTCCTCTCTCTGCACTGAGATGAGGGTGGGAGTGCACTGAGCACAGGGCTGGGGGTGAAGGAGCAGGCTGGGGGTTAGGGTGTAGGGTCTGGCCAGGAGCTAGAATGAGGGTGAGGGCTCAGGGTTGAGGCAGGAGGTTTGGGTGTGGAGTGCTTACCTGGGCAGCTCCCATTCGGTGCAAGGGGTGCAGGTAGGAATGTGGGGAGGGGGGTGCAGGAGCTCCCCTTTGGTGCTCAGGTTGGGGGTGAGAATGTAGGGGGTGCTGGGTATGTGTGGGGGGTGCTGGAATCAAGGCTGGGGTCGTGGGGGGATCTAAGGGTCAGTGCAGAGGGCTGGAGGGATGTGGGGGGGTGTAGGGGTCAGGGCAGAGGGCTGGGGGTGTGGGCTAGGGTCAAGGGGGTGCTCCCTGCCCAGAGCTTACCTAGGCAGCTCCCATTTGGTGCAAGGGGTGCAGGCTAAGTGGGCCAGCAGCGTAAGATGAGCATTTTAATTTAATTTTAAATGAAGCATCTTAAACATTTTGAAAACCTTGTTTACTTTACATACCACAAAAGTTTAGTTATGTAAATATATAGACTTATAGAGAGAGACCTTCTAAAAAACGTTAAAATGTATTACTGGCACGCGAAACCTTAAATTAAAGTGAATAAATGAAGACTCGGCACACCACTTCTGAAAGGTTGCCGACCCCTGGACTAACCATTAGGGACAACTGGCCTATGCCTATAGTCCCAGGTCCTGGGGTCAGCTGATGACATCAAAGATACCTTTCTGGGCAGCTGGAAGAGTTCATGTGGAGCATTCTGCCACACAAGAGGTCCCCATTGGTCCCACGGCGGGGGGCTGGAGGGGATATGCCGTGATTCCACCCCTTTTCCCCAAGGCCCCATCCCCACCTCATCTCCGCCTCCTCCCTAGAGCAGCGAGCACGCAAAGGCTCCGCTTCTCCTCCTCCCGTGCAAGGGCCATCAGCTGATTTGGCGGCAGGAACCCAGGAACCCGGCTGGGGGAGGAGGAGGGGGAAGGGGACCTTGCCTGCCCTGCAGCAGCAGCTGGCAGGACCAAGCTTCTTCACCCTGCCCCCACGGGGGGCAGGGCGGAGAAGAGTGGGCCGGGGCAGGCAGGATTTTTAATGGCATGCTGCTGCCTGCCAGGGTCCCGGCCTGGGTTCTGCAGTGGGCTGAGCAGGGCCGGCGGCTGGAACCTGGCAGGCAGCAGCGTGCCATTAAAAATTGGCTCGCGTGCCGTCTTTGGCACGCGTGCCATAGGTTGCTGACCCCTGGGTTAGCCTATCCCGAACTCCTTCCTGCCACATCCACCTCAATGAATCATGGACTCCGAAGCCTAAATGGGATCATATAATTGGGAGCATCAGTCACAGGCAGTTCGTTTTTTCTAAAGCATGGCAATTAAATGCACTCTGTCAATGCACAATTTCATGCACCCAAATGACGGAAGTGGAAATAAGGTTCCCACACCAACTTTTCACTAGGCCTTGTTTCAAATTGGTAGTATTTTTTTTTAACTAAATGTGTAGCTTGATCTATTACTGTGTGTTGTTTATTGTGTACAAGATGTACAATGCTGTTGCTGTTAGAACCTCTGTGTCTCAACTGTGCAAGCTGAACAGTGTGTTAGTATTGTTTATTTGCATTTATACACACATCATAGATCTTTGCTTACAGGGCCCGGGGCTTTTATTTGTAAACCTTCTGGTTCAAGAGCTGCATCTTTACTTTACAAACAGCAGCAGGAGGTAATTGAATAGAGAATGTGGGTTCTACACAAAGGTATGCAGTGAAGTTTAGTGACTTGCCCTAAAGAAGTTGAAGATTTCAATTCAACCAATCAGGCCATTCAGCAGGAAGTTTGGCTGGCCCATTCTAACCATTTGCAACCATTCCCTGGATCTATGCCTCTATTAGACTGGGGTGAAGATTTTCCAAGGAAGGCGTATTGTCTAATGATCAGACTAAACTGTGGTGAGCAAGGAAGAGGCGGGATTCTAACCTAAAATGAGTCATTGATTCTCTGTGATCTTGGGCAAATCATTTAACCTCACTGTGCCTTGGGCAACCTAGCAGAAAATTGGGTAAGAATCTCGTTGATAGCCAGATGGTGTATGTTTGATGAGATTTCCTGGATGGGTAAATTGCCAAAAAGGACATCCACCTGCCTATGACCTCTTGACTGTATTTTTGCTGCAAGTAATCTGTTCTTAAAATAACCTGCCCCAGTCATGTTAAGAAAAAATATTGTTCTGAGGCAACCCCAAGATAGCCTAATTGACTCACATATAACACTTTGAGCCTTGGCAGCAAAAAAGCACAACGGTTTTAACCAAGCCGACCTGCCATTAGGGATGTTCACACGCATTCTTTGTTGTGCTAGAACAAAATGGTGACTGTTTTTCCATCTGTGATAAAGACATGCTATCAGACTTAAAATCATGTCTTAAATCATACTTGAAACACGATTCCATTCCCCCGTGATACTAACCGCAGCTAAGGTAGTAAAAATAATGTTAAACATGTAATTATTTTCCATGATTGATGCTTTTATTCTGTGTGCTTGTGACTATATATTTCATTTGCCATCGCGGTGCACTTCCTGGTTCTTATACATGAGCGTAAACATGCGTGTATTGTATGGGAACATTTAATTGCTTTAAAACATCTTCACCATGTAATTTTGAAAACCTCCAAGAAAACAATCTACATTTCAGACTCTGGGCTGGATCATTGCCACTCTCCAGCTGCTTTGTGGTGCTTCATAATTGGCTATCTGGGGATTCCCCTAATGTGAGGGTCTCCCTGGGTGGCATAATGACTTGATGCTATACCCCTTGCCAGGATATGAGGGGTGCCAAGGGGAATGGCTAGAGCACTGCTGTACTGCAGTGATCCCTGGCCACTAGAGTACCCCGTGGTGGCCATAAAGACACCTTTCTCCCTCCTGCCATGTGTGACGCAGTTCCTCCTCTGCCTTGGTGGGTCCTGCGCTTATTGGAGGATTTGCTTGCCTTGGAGGTTCACGGCAGCCCCCAGTTTGGCCACTTTCGTGGCTCAAATCTGCCGTTCACTCAGTTAGCCTCATCACTGGCCAGCATGGGGAAAAGGAAGAACAACAATCCCCGCAGTCTCTGCTGATCCATCTAGTGGATCGGAGAACAGGCCAGAGACCTTCCCCTCTGGTGGAACCCACAGTCCAGGTCAGCTCCTCCGGTATCAAGTAGGGAGTTGGGGGGATAGAGGGATGGGGGGAACCCAGGCCCATCCTCTACTCCGGGTTCCAGCCCAGGGCCCTGTGGATTGCAGCTGTCTACAGTGGCTCCTTAACAGCTGTGTGACAGCTACAACTCCCTGGGCTACTTCCCCATGGCCTCCTCCCAACACCTTCTTTATTCTCACCACAGGACCTTCCTCCTGATGTCTGATAATGCTTGTACTTCTCAGTCTTCCAGTAGTACGCCTTCTCACTCTCAGCTTCTTTCACCTCTTGCTCCCAGCTCCTCGCATGCACACCACAAACTGAAGTGAGGTCCTTTTTAAACCCAGGTGCCCTGATTAGCCAGCCTTAATTGATCCTAGCAGCTTCTTGATTGGCTGCAGGTGTTCTAATCAGCCTGTCTGTCTTAATTGTTTCCAGAAAGTTCCTAATTGTTCTGGAACCTTTTCTGTTGCCTTAGCCCCAGGTTGAGTAGGTCCCTTTTCCCTGAGTAATATATCTGCCTTCTATCACTCTCCTGTAGCCATCTGGCCTGACTCTGTCACACATGCCATACCAGCACAACTGAGGATCTGGCTATCTATCTGCCTATGCCTTTTCTTTTAACAAATGGGATTTGTATTAACAAAACAAATGTCTAGCAGTGTGAGTGGATAGTTAGATAAAACTCACAGCGTCCAAGTGACATGTGGAAAACATGGTGTTGTGTATTTCCTTTCAGTTACATCCATTACAGAATTCTTCATAAAGCCTTAAGACCACTGTGCTCTCTCCCCAGCAATACAGTAGGGAGCTAAACCTCTGAGGCAGTTGTGGTGTTACGCTGATGGGAAAAGCAACTGAATGGGGTGTTCCTTTGTACCCTCCTTTCTTCACTCTGCGTAAGGTCTGCAAAGAAACAGCAGGCAGAGAATAGGCACCAGGAAGAAGCCATACTAAGTGGCATGTCATCCTCCAGACACACACACACCCTACAAAAATTTAAGAAGACCTGGAGTAAAGAACATGGAAAGCTAATGCTGATTGAAGTTAGTAATTACAGTTATGGGCTCTAGCCACTGGCAGCTTAGCTACTGTCCCTCTTGCTGATGAGAGGATGTTGGAAGGAATAATGGAGGAAGCTTCCCATTGTGCTGCTGGCCAAGGATATTTGGAGATCCAGATACCCCAAATATCTTCACTTTCCACTTTATTTGACTCTACCACCTGCTGTTCCACCCCTTTCAATAAAATAAATCAATCATTCTGCAGTGTTGAAGAGACCGTGATGTTCCAAACCTCTAGAGTTTACAATAGTGATTCTGTTGTGTTTGTAGAATCAACTTTGTCCTTCTAGGAATGAACCTGGAGGAGTGCACATCTCCTTTGTTCCTCTCCTTGCACTTTTGCACAGAAGGAAAGAATACAGGCTTTGGAATTAAACTGTGGTAGCGCAGTGCTTCATCCTGCAAGAGAAATGTGTATGCTAGTCTATCACTGTACATCAAAACATTTAATAACAAACCTTTTAACCTGGATCATACTTCATTATTGTAGGATCTGCATTACTGTGCTATAACTTGCGGTGATTCATGGTTGGTTATTAAAACCTAAAAGCCAAGTTAGAAGACAAGGAACCCATGACTCTCTGATTTGAAAGTAGCTTTTAAACAAGGTGTTAGTGATATAATTTGATCAGTGATGATCCTATTTTAATAGCTCTCAGTACTGTCTATCCCAAGCAAGAAGATATTTGCCTTGCTCAGCATGAGTAAATTGAAGGATGGGGTGAATGATGAGATGAGATTTACTGCAAAAAAAATGGAGGTATCCCATAAAAATATCATGCAAGGCCAGAAAATGTACACTGCTGTTAAAATAAATAAATAAATAAATTCTTGAACCCGCAGCCACTTGGTACAGGATGTCCTATTTTCTGCAGCTGTTGGAGTCAGTATTTTAATCCTTATAAAATCTTTTTATTTATCATTTTATAAGAGCTGCTTGGTGATAATTTGCTGATTTGAGAGGACAAAACTGATCATGATTCATGGCAATGTGGAGTTTTTTACATTGATCAGCGTCCTTCACATCAGCAGCTCTGCAATAAAGAAAAATTTATAGCTTGCTTACATCTACTCTTCCCTCTCCCGCCCACTCCCAATTGATGTATTCCTTACAATTCTCCTCTTATGCTTTCATGGACAATTACTGCAACATGCTGATGTTTTGAGATGTATTTGTGGCTTTGTATTTTACTAGAACTGGGGGAATGCTGAAGACGCTGGAGGGGTTTTTTTTCTTTCTACATAATGTATATTGAATAATTATATATTGTTGAAAGGGCAAAGAACAAATGAGAATGTGTTTTGTCCTAGCTGTGTTGTGGATGAGATGGACTTCTCAGCAATGGAACTGGATGAAGCACTCAGGAAATTTCAGGCTCATATCCGTGTTCAAGGAGAAGCTCAGAAAGTAGAACGACTCATTGAAGCTTTTAGGTATGGCACTGAAATACGTTGTCAGAGCACCTGACGTGATCCAGCTGTCCCATGTGAGACAGGGAGGTTGGGTAGAGTTAGGCTATTCCCTGCTTTATTAAGCTGCCTTTGAGAACAATAGGGGTTTTTTATGCGGTTACATGATGGTAGATGTTTACTTTATACATTAAATATAGAATAAGGAAGTTTTATGTGCTATTGTTAATGCATATTGTTAGTGTAATTATTTTTATTCTTTTATATAATATAGCTGTATTTCTAAATTGAAAAATTCCCTCCAAAATCAGTCTGATTGGCAAGATTTTTTTTTTAAACTTCAAATATCTGTCCCTGAAAATTCACTGTTGTAATTTAGGAGCTTGGTTTCTGTACATGGAGGCACTGGACTTTGTTTACATTTTACAGTATCTCCATGTACTTTTTTTAACCTTCTGTTAAGCAGTTTAGCACAGTGGGGCAAAGAGCATTAATTTATTAAAGCCCACACAAATGTTCTTTATTGTGGAAGGAAAAAATGTAAATCATCTAAAATATAAATGTAAAAATCCTGGCCAGATCCTCAGCTGCTGTAAGCAGGTGTAGCTCCACTGAAGTCAGCGGAATATTGAAGTTAATGAAGTTACCCCAATTGAGGATCTGGTCTGGCTAATGAGTTCACTGGTTGTAAAACGGAAAACTTAAGCCTTCAGCATTCTAGGATGTTAGTTCTGAGAATGTGACTGGGCAGAGAAGTACTATAGAAAACTAAATGTGTATGAAGTATAAAGGATACCAAACTTGGCCTCTTGAATGTACCAGTTCATTGATTTGGTTTTAGTCACACAGCTTTTGTTAACTCTGGCCGACTTCCCCCCCTTTGTTTCTTACAGCCAGCGATACTGTATCTGCAATCCTGGCGTTGTGAGACAGTTCCGAAATCCTGATACCATCTTCATCCTAGCTTTCGCAATCATATTGTTAAACACAGACATGTATAGCCCAAATGTGAAACCAGAACGCAAGATGAAGCTTGAAGATTTTGTTAAGAATCTAAGGGGTGAGAAAACTTGAATGATTGTCAGCAAAGCTTTTTATTTGTTAGGGAAATTACAATATATCAGATATTATATTGTATCTGAAGTAGGTTTGCTTTTAGGATGGCTAGGGAAATTATATATAAAATGTTGGTTTTATAGATAGATATATATAAATTTCCCTAACTATCCTAAAAGCAAATCTACTTCAGATACGATCTAAGACAAAGATAAAATATATAGAGCCTACTTGTGATTTTACTTACTTTGCATTTACACTGCTGTGAATATATTGACTTCAGCAATGTTGTTCCTAAAATAATGTGAAAGCAGAATTAGGCTTGTAATCCTTCATCATTCATATTCCATCCTCATTATAAAGAACTTCTATTCAGTCTTTTATTCCCAACTCCCTTGAGATCTGTTATAAATATCTTCTATCTTGTATTCACATCTCTGTAATGTGCCAATTTCCTGGATATAATTGAAACTTGGCATGTTGGCACCCTTTGTGTAGTCAGATGGCAGCTCATAAAGTTTGTAATTTTACATACATGAATGAGGCTGAATAAACCCTATTATATAGTAAAGTTGTCCAACAAGTGAAAGAAGGTACAAAGATCAGTAGTGTTAATGGATAACGTAGCCAGTGTTTGTGAAATGGGGAGTACAGTGTGTAGACAGGGATGGGTAACTACATTGTAAGCCCACTAATGACTTCTGTACTCATACCTTTGGTCAACAGAGGCAGAAACACTTCACAAATCCATCACCAAGGACACTGGTCCTCGATGCTGACAGAATTTTAGAAGTAGGACCTTTTGCAGCATTCTCCAAAATCTTGAATTTCATTTTTAAAATGAAGTTTCTTTCACTGTCTTGTTTCAAAGGAAACTTTCAGGATCAACTTTTCTGTCTGCCAGACAGTCAAGTTAGTCCTCCGTGAACCAAGAACTCTCCCACTCATATTAAAGGGGAGTTAATGTGGGAGCTGCATATCCACAATGATTATCCATGTTCTCAGAGATGAAAATTAAAAACTTTGTTTACTAGACCCCCATCCAACAAATGTTACCTAAGATAACTTGCGCTGTGAACACATAAATATATATAAAAGTCTGGAAAATAATCAGTGTGCCATGCTGAAGGCCTTCTGAAATAAACAGAGGCTTTAAATCCCTTAGAAAAAGTCAGTTCTAAGGCCCTTGTAAAAGTCAAGTGGGAAGGAAACTGAAACCCAGCTAACCTAATTGCATTGAATTCTGCATCTGTGTGGATGTGGAATCCCCATTCCATGACTCGAAGAGTGATTTCCAGTCAAGAGGCTAATCTGTTCTCCAGCCCTTGGCGCTCTGAAACCCACAGTCAGACCTTTCTGCTCTTCTGCTTTCCTGGTTCACCAAATATATATCCCATACCTCCCCACATTATATGCTGGTTCCCTCCCCAGAGATGAAAAATCTTGTCCCATTCACCAGAGCATGGCTTGTTAGAAAGAAGAGCAACATTATCTTAAAATATGTTTGAATTCCCTCCACCTTTTGCTTGCAAGCACAGCTCTGGTACTGACCTAAACTGGCTCTCTGTGCCACAGATAAAGAACCAGACTGTGCTTGTTAGACACAACCCCGGATAGAGTGGAGCTGCACCCCTACCCAGGCCTGAGGCTGAACTCAGGAGGAGTGGACACATTGCAGCATGTATATGGGAAGTGGATGGCTCAGCATCTACAGCTCCATAGTGGCCGGCTCGGTTAGGGTGCTGGACCTTTTCCCCGCCCCACACCTTTTCAGGTTGTTTATGCCTGAGGGGGCACTAGGAGGGACTATGATTATCTCTGGTCCTTGCAGGAAAGGCACAATAAAGAGAAGGCTGCCTATGCTTACTCTCCCCCACCTCAACTCCCATGCACGGGTCAGGCACAATCCAATCCATAGTGTTTCTTCTGATTGGTAGCATTTGATTGTGGTAGAGTATGGGCTCACTGCAGTAGCAGAACAGACACAGGAGCTACGCCAACAGTAAGCACAAAGATACTGGCTGTAAGAAAAACAAAACAAAACACCTTTTTCTCTATCGCACAGCGTAGTTCGCTGCATGGCAGGAAGAAGGCAGTGGAGTTCATTAGTGGCTACTGGCCAGACTTAGGTCTATGTAATTCAGACAGCTGCCAATCTTCCCTTCATATCTACAGATGCAGTTGGTTCATCTTGATACTGATTAAGTCACAGATACTGATGTATTCTGGAATTTCAGATCTTGACAATGAGTGTTGGTTTTCCATTTCATTCCCTATAAATCAGTATTGCACGCTATCCTTGGCAGACATTTTAGTGTGGAGTGCAAGCTAAACAAGATTAAGTTTAGTATTGTCATTTTAGTTAAAAGTCTACAGAAGAATAAGGTTGAAAATGGCCTCATACTCCTACTTTCTATGCTCATTTAGCAGCTATGTTCTTGACTGTTTTATCAGAGCTAGGGTGTTTCTAGAGGCTCCCTCTTACTAGATCCCTACTATTGCTTTTTATATATAACTTTTGTCATAGAGAGCAGTCTAGTAGGCTATACTGTTCCTAACTTGTAATGAATGGATGGGTCTTCGGCTGTGGTCTGTGGAGCATTTGCAGCTGTTCACATGGTGCAAGCTCCCCCTTGCTTCCAGCTGCTAAGAAAAGATTAAATATTGTCATCAGACTACTTATGTAAGCAATTGCTGTAGTTGCCACAGGGATGTTGTGCGTTTGCAAATGGGAAAGAAGGTGAGCATGAATGGGAGGGGAGATATCTGTTAAGATGTGGTCCAGCCTGTGTTAAAACGTTTGAGGACCTGTGCTTTAAATTACTCACCAGATTTGATGTGCAAAAGGTGTATTTGGATTCTGTCCATGAAAGTTAGGAATTCAGGAGCAACTTCCAGGATTCTGTCGCGCTTGTTGGAATACTCTCAATAATTATTCAGTATTAAAAATTAAAACAGCATAACAAGACTGATGTGAATTAGTGTAAAATGCTCTTCTAGAGTAAACTGCATTCTCTCAAAATTAATATTAAAACAAGAAATGATTAGTTAAAATTATTTTAATCATTAACCAGCACACTTGTATGATAAGGTGTCTAATGTCATCTCAGGCTGGATAATAGTTATTATTTATGGTAGAAGATCTAGCAAATGAGATGGGTGAGAGAGAGAATAATGTGTATTATTAGTTTGGTTTGTATAAGATGTATGGCTATGACTTAAATGAAAAGTTTCATTTAAAAAATGGGAGAGAAAAGTGTTTGATCTGGGATGTGGGATTCAGAACTTCTGGTTCACTAGTTCAAATCCAGCTGAGGTCATTAGTGACCAAAAGTCACTAGAATGTGAAAACTGTTAGGTGGCTTTTGTGAAATGAGTCAGACTCCTTGGGACTGGGTGTGTTGGTGCAAAGGTCTACCTACTTGGGCAGGTCAGCTTGCAGAATGAGGTGCTCAGGGTGCTTATTCCCTTCCTGCTAGACAAGTGTCCCCCTCACCAAAACCACCACCACAGTTCACATTGTTTGATTGGCACCCTTGCTGGTAGTCTCCACAGAGAGGTCCAGGACTGAACGGACACGAAGACTGCACTCCCATCTTGCCTGTAGAGCTGATCCCTGCAGGTCAGGGCTGAGGAGCACTGGTGAGGAAGATTGGAATCATAGTACTGGTTCTGCCCTATGCTATACTGTTCTGGGGACAAAGGTAGAATTTAGTGTCCAAGAACATTATCTGGTAACTTTCATCTGCATTAAATTCACTTAAACTTTAATATAGTGGGGTTTTTTTATTTCATCTGCCTTAGTAGCTATGAAGGTTTGCTTAGGGAATTACTCTTGTTGTGGGCAAATTTTGCTTTAGTAATTTAAAAAAAAAATCAAAAGTATAATTCACAATTAAAATATTTCAGTCAGTGGATGTGTGGTGTGATGAGGGAGTGAAAAGTAACACTTTTTTGTATTTTTTAATATATAACAGTGTTTTCTTCTGCTGTAAGATTGGCAAAATGACAGTGCATCAGAAAAGGATTTAGACTCCCTCAACTGCTTGTTGGCTGGAAGATTATTTGACTATATTAGGTCATGGAACAGAACTACTTAGATTAACAGATATATTAGTGATCCATATAAACAAGGCAGCTCCTTCTTTGTGGTTAGTAAGGTAAACAAACAGTACCTATGTCCTTATCTTGTTCTTGCTAAGAAGCCCACATTATTGAGCTGTAAGTGTGGAGAGGAGCCAGTGTTGGTTAGTCAGGTCATTGTAAGCCAAAGTGGTAATGAAAGCTGTTGGTTTCTGCAGGTGTAGATGATGGTGAAGATATCCCACGAGAGATGCTGATTGGAATATATGAGCGAATCCGCAAACGGGAACTGAAGACAAATGAAGATCATGTATCCCAGGTCCAAAAGGTCGAAAAACTCATCGTAGGAAAGAAACCAGTAAGTTAATTTTGCACTAAAACTTAAGCTGATTATGCCAGATGACTGAGAGTTGCCGGGCAAGGGATGCTACCTGAGGCTTCTTGTAAACATAAATTGGACTGGACAATGACAAAATATGGGAAGTATGTCAGTGTAATAAAATTGCTACAAAGATGGCCTTGTTTTCATAACTTTCACTAAGCAAGTGAACATTTCTCTGCACTTTAGTCTGGACAGTAGTGCACATCTGTGCATGGTGAGGTTATGAATATTACAAATTATTTTTTTAAATAAAGATTATAAAATGTACCTGTTTTACCCACATATTCTCCCTGTTCGTTTCAATCCTGAATTTTGGCTCTGAAATGTCTGCATTTTAATAATCTTCAGTGATTATATTTCAAAACGACTGGAGCATGTTGCTGCAAAGTGATGTCTTAGAAAAACATATTTCAGCTTTATACCTTTTAATTAAAGATTTTATTGATGTCAGTGTTTCCTCCTCCCTAAAACAGGCTGTACAGGCCCATGTTTAAAAGAGAGAAGATCTGTATTAGAGAGTGATATAATCTTATGGTCTAAGAGATAATCTGGGAACCAAGTTCTCTTGAGTTCTAATGCTGGTTCTGACACTCGCTCGCTCCCTCCCTCTCTAGGCTTCGCAATTCAATTAACTCCTCTTCCTCATGTCCTCTATCTGTAGGAACGGGATAATAATATTTACTTAGTTCACAAAAGTGCTGAGTATGATTCTGACTGTTCTGTACTTAGTCATTGATTTCTATTCAGGGATCTTGAAGTGCTTCACAATCGTTAATTACTTTTTCTTCACAACATCCCTGTGTGGGAGGGAAGTATTTTTATCCCCTTTTTGGAAATGAGGCAACTGAGGCACAGAGAAATTCAGGACAACATTTTAAAAAATGTCCACTAATTTGGGGTGCCTTTGTTTTTGGATCCCCCCAAACCTGCAGCTGAAGTCAGTAGAGGCTCCAGATACTCGGCACTTTTGAAAGTCAGGTCCACATCTCAATGAGCGCCTTTTGAAAATGACAGGTTTCAGAGTAGCAACCGTGTTAGTCTGTATCCGCAAAAAGAAAAGGAGGACTTGTGGCACCTTAGAGACTAACAGATTAAGTGAGCTGTAGCTCACGAAAGCTTATGCTCAAATAAATTTGTTAGTCTCTAAGGTGCCACAAGTCCTCCTGTTCTTTTTTTGAAAATGACTTGCCCAAAGTCACATAGGAGATTTGTGATAAAGCTGGAAGTAGAACCCAGACCTTCTAACTCCTGAGGCTGTGCTGCAGTTTTTAATGGATTCTTGGCTACCATTTGAGCTTCAACTTGTTACCTGCCATAGGGAGTTTTAGGTGAGTAGGGACAGATTAGGAACTGAGGAAGGATCTCAAGAGTTGCCCAATTATTTGTAAAGAGCTTTGAAGATCAATGCTAAGTATTATTTGTCTAACCTGAGACTATCCCAGTTGGTTTAAAGCAGGGGAATCAGGGCATGAAAGAGAACTGAAGACCCCCTGGAAGAACTGGGGGAAGGTGTCACCAAATATCAGAAAGCGAATAGTGTCTTACACCATGTGCTTCAGGAGGAAAGGAAAAACTCCTTGACTGTTCTATAGTGTTTGGGGGGGGGGGGAGGGGAGTGTCATATTTATTGTCATATAAAACTTTCAGTTGACAGTATTTGTATGTATTTCTGCTCCTGTCTGATTCAGGCACATAGCATTCTAGACACAGGGCTTGATCCTCCAGTGTGCTGAGCTCATGCAGTAAGGGAGACTTAACAGCCTTTCTGGAAGCAGTGGTTTTTCATAGAATCAGGTGCATTTGGTGAGAATTTTTTTACTGTGTGAAAGAAAATGCAGGAAATAGCCACATATACTCATAGAAATGTTTGTTTTTACTTTATAGGAGTTTAGTCAAGTAAGTAGTAGAAAGACCATGAAGTATTTACTTGCTATGATACAGTACTGTTTCTCTGAAGTTTAATAAACTTGTATGTGTCTTTCTACTGTAGATTGGATCTCTGCATCATGGACTTGGTTGTGTAGGTATTCCTTTTCATATTGATTCATGGTTTATAAACCACACTAATCAGAAGCAGTTTAATATTCAGGATTATCCCTTACTAACACTAATATTTTTCTGCTGTATTTTTGGCTTTTTCAAAATGTAGGCTTCTTTCAGTTTATTTATCTTTTAAGCAAACTTTTCTCACTGTTGACTTAGCAAAAACACGCCAACACTTCCTGCAGAAGTCAGTTCATCCTCTAAGGTATAAAGATTTGCTAAGAATGAAAGTTTTTTCTTCGTGTAGTTTGTTTATAATTCATTGCCTAGAGTTTTTTAGATTTTGTTTTTTCTCATGCTCTGTCTTTTTTTATTTGTGCATTACTAATGCAAATTGTCACCAGACTATCTATCTAGGGTGCCCTATGCAAAAATGAAAATCGCATTGATTCTGCCCCAACAGGCACACCGTATCACCTAGCTCTCACTTTATCAACTATTCCTTGTTTGTTTGTTTGTTTGTTTGGAGGATATTGCCAATTAATTTGCAACTCTCTTTTCAAAGGTAGATGAGTACAACAGGCATTAAATAAAAATTGAAGTCCCACACAAATACAATTATATTCTTAAAATTGAATCTCCTAATGAAGTGTTCCACTTATTTTAATCTCAGGCTAGTGTTGCCAATAATAGTAAAAACCATTTTTTAAAATGCAAATATAAATGCTAATTCCCCATCACCTGACTTAGCTTTGTACAACGTAGCATCTTCTGTCAAAAGATTAGATGTCATTTTACAAATTTGACTCTTAATAATTTTTTTATTATAATCATTTTCCTTTGCATTATTATTTTATTCTAGGATGATCCAGAGAATCTGGAGTACTTCCAGAGAAGTACTTCTCACTTGCATTGCTTTTAATCTGCTTGCCTCCTGCAGTCCTTGCATGAGCAGTCAACATGGAAGCCTTGTTAGAGTGGTGGAAAGCTTTTTTTCAATAGTCTAATGAAAGTATCTATTAGTACTTCCTAGGTGTTTGTTTAGCAATGCCTGCAGACTACGGAAATGCTCTGGAGGACACTTCTGTTGATTGTTAAGAATGAATACATTTTCCTTTCAGTTTAATTCCATATGTAGGTCTCTGTAGTTAACTCTAAATTAATTAGGTTCAGTTTACTCCTTACAGTCTGTCATCTTGCAGTGGCAGATGCCAGGCTGCGAGCCCCAAGGGGAAGTAAGTCTGTCTGGAGTTGGGGGGGAATGCAGCAGCTTAACCCACATCTAAGCCCTCTCTGGTGGCAGCCCACAACAGCTAGTCCAGCACCAAAAGTGGGAAAGGGTGACCTCTAGGGAAAACTGATTCAGCACCTTTTCTCTAGCATTCTCTGCCAGCTGGATTCCTGTAGAGCATTAGCCAGGTTTTAAAACTCTCCTCCCCTGGCAAAAACCCCAGGAGAATAAGTTATTAATATAATGCCACAGGGGCATTGGGGGTGAAATTCTGGCATGATTGATGTCAGTGGCAAAAATTTCATTGATTTTTAATAAGGCCAGGATTTCACCCAATGAAATGACAAAGAGGAGGGGAAGGTGTCCATTTATCAGTTTCTATATTAAAATATAGGCCATACTATGAACAAGTTTTGAGAACCACTGATTTAGAGGAATAGTGTGTACTTACTAATAATCTCTGCTTTTCAGCTTCCTTGGCCTAATAAACCATATTGTTCCCGTATAGAATCAGAGGTTGTAATAAAATAGTTCATTTAAAATAAGAAAAACAAGTCCTAGGTGCAAAGGAATATTCTATGCTTTACATGAAAATATAAATTTAAAACATCCCTTTTTAATATGATTGGCAGAATAATCTTATTTGCATTTGAAAGACATGAAGTCTCAGTCGGTTCAGAATAACTATATTTTCTGTAGATGCTGTAGGCAGGAATGTTTCAAGGTAGAAAGTGGGAAGTTACAATTGGTTTTCTTATCAGCATGAGAAAAGAAGTCAGACTGAAAATGCATTTGTTTTCCTGATGAGCATGCCACCTTTCCTTGATGTTAGAAATACATAGGTAGAATTAAACAATTAAAAACAAACCCACCAAAGCCTGGTGTATTCGCCATCTCACAAAAGGTGAGATAATTTTGCATCCCCTGTTATTTGGTATTAGATATTTAAAAGTGTGCAGCAAAATGGAAACACTTTGCTTTGTGATCAGTCTTTCTGCTTTATTTTACTCAATGTTTTATAGCTATACAAACTAGGGATTGCTCCTGCTCCTATTGAAGACAGTAGCAAAACTCCCATTGGCTTCAATGTGCAGGATACAAGACCCTACAGAATATCTGACCTAATGATTTCATTATGTTGTGGATCTGTTGCAGCTCTGCAGCAGATATATCTGTGTTATTATATTGTTCATCCTGTGATGAAAAACAGTCTACTATTGGTCTTAAAGAACTAAAGATATTAGAAGTATTCACATAATCATAAAGACTTCAGGCAAGAAAGATACTCTTTATTAACTGAGTTCAGCATTGTACTTTTCTGTATACCATAGGTTCTCTCTCTACCCCACCGGAGACTTGTTTGCTACTGTAGGTTGTTTGAAGTTCCAGACCCAAATAAACCTCAGAAGCTTGGTCTGCACCAGCGAGAAATATTTTTATTTAATGACCTCCTTGTGGTATGTATTTTCAGATACAATGTTTTTTTTCTTAAGATAAGCTTTTATTAGCACACAGATTCTGATAAGTAGAGAGACTTCTTAAGTACACTAAGAAGTGTGTAGAAAACTATATTTTCATTGCTAGATTTCTGCTGCCATTCATTTGTTTATCTTTGCTTCGAGGGAGACAGCTTAACCTTTGCCCTGATAGTCTTATCAGCATATTTTTGGCACCAAGGCTGAAGGGTTTTTTGCTAGAGAGCTTTACTAGCACTATCGACCAGGTTTTCTGTGACGTGATGATGATTTTCTTGCTTATAAGGTCCAGCTTTCTAAAATGCAAATGTTTTTCAGATCTTGCTAAAGGCTGGGGGCCAGACTTTTAAAGATATATGGGTGCCTAAGGTGTAGATGGTACCTAGCGGGACTTTCAGAAGTGTCTAGGTGCCTAACTTCTATTGATTTCAGTGGGAGTTATGCATGTAGGTGCATCTTTAGGCACCTAAATACCTTTAAAAATCTGCCCCTTGGTCCTTCTTGGAGCTGAGCACTATCTGGATGGAGCTTGGTGCTGTGAACTCCCATTGATTTCCATGGGAGTCAGCAAAAAGAAAAGGAGTACTTGTGGCACCTTAGAAACTAACAAATTTGTTTGAGCATACAGCTCAAAACCCAAGAGGCCATATGTGCTAAGAGGCAGAGTGTTATGAATTTAAACAGCTGTAAACTAAGGATTTTGTATCCTCCAGTTATCTGCAACATAGGTTCTCCTTCCCATCGCATATGCACACATACACACCCCTTGGAGGAAATAGAAGAGTTTAGTTTACAAGGGGAAGCTCTTGTCTGAGTAGTGAGTATATCTGTGCAAATACGTTGAACTTTAGAAATTGAGTTCTACTAATTGTTTATCCTTATAATAAATTAAAACAGTTCTAGCAAATCTACAGGAAAAAAAAACATGTTGTAAGGGCTATGTATTGCTTGCATGAATATCATTAATACCTCATTACATCTAAGCCCGTCATTTTCCCCAGGCATTTTGGAAAGGGATACCAGCCACGGCTTTGGATTATTTTTATTATCTGGCTTTAGCTGGTCAGTAGTTGTTTGAGTCAAGATGGGCTGAGCGCTCCTTTGTTTCGCATTGTGCACTGTTTGATTTATTTGTAGGATGACACCCAGTGCATGGGACTGGAGCCTGGGTTTTTATAATTCAAATGCATTTAAAAAATAAGATTCATGGATAAAATCGGAGACGCTATTTAAAATCCAAATTGTGTTCTAGTGATCCATGAATATGACCTTGAGCTTCAACTTGTCTAGGAAGAGTTCATGTCCAACTGTTCATAATTAAGGCTGCGAGTCTGTCATGGAGGTCACGGATTCCGTGATTTTCTGGGACTTCTGTAACTTCTGCAGGTGTGCCTGACCCCAGAGCTGCCCGAGCTGCTTGGGCAGCCCTGGAGCCAGCTGCACTGCCCCACCCCCAGCAACAGCAGCGGTCCCAGGGCACTCCCTACCAGCAGCATTGGCGGCTGTGGTCCCGGGTCGGCCCTCACTGGCAGCGGCGGTCCTGGCTGGCTTCCTACCCCCGAGCTTCAACGGGAGCCCCGGAGCGCGCACACGCACGCACCCCCACAGCATCCCCACAAGCACCAGCGGGCACCACGAAGCTCCCCCAGCACCAGCAGCCCAGGCGCCCCCCCCAGAACATTCAAGATGTAGTCAGGGGTATATAGTACAAGTCATGGACAGGTCACAGGGCTGAGCATTTTTGTTTATTGCCCATGACCTCTCCATGACTTTTTTACTAAAAATATCTGTGACTAAAACATAGCCTTGCTCATAATCATTGATAATCCCCTAAATATATATTTAATCAAGTACATAAAAGGTTGTTACAAGGAGAAGGGAGAAAAATTGTTCTCATTAACTGCTGATAATAGGAAAAGAAGCAATGGGCTTAAATTGTAGCGAGGCAGTTTAGGGTGGACATTAGGAAAAACTTCCTAACTGTCAGGATGGTTAAGCACTGGAATAAATTCCCAGGGAGGCTGTGGAATCTCCATCATCAGAAATTTTTAAGAGCAGGTTAGACAAACACCTGTCAGGGTGGTCTAGATAATACTTAGTCCTGCCATGAATGCAGGGGACTGGACTAGATGACCTCTCCAGGTCCCTTCCAGTCCCACAATTGTCATTCTATGATTTTCTTTGAAACCTGAAGATTCTTTCTTGTTACTACTATTAGTTATAAGAAAGTGGTTTGGTACAATAGTTTATTGTTGCAAAAAATATTTGTGATAGTTCCAGTTTACCTGTTTCAAAAAAGGCTCATCTAGCTATTGAGATAAAACAGGAAAGGGTAATTAATCTGGCTATTGATCTGTGTTCAGTTGATCTGTTATGATCTAGACGTGTCTTTTCCCTTGAATATAAGTTGAGCACGTTGAAATATGTTTTACAGTTGACTTTCCTTCCCAGCATACATTCAACTTGACCCAGTGTCTTTTAAAAATACAAATAAAAGGAGTGACAGCTTGGAAGCATTTTGTTGAATTACTTTCAAAAACAGGAACACTTGTAGTACTTTGTAGTCTGAATGTATTTTGATTTTTACCTGGAGAATTAAGTTGGTTGGATATTATATGCCATATTTTGTTGTGAGTGATAACATAAAGGTACATTGCCTGCTCATTATTTATAATTTGTACTCCTTACTTAGGGCTTGAACAAGGCAGCCTTCCCTTAAAAACAGAAAAATAGCCTTCAGATCCAAATGTGATCATGAGTGTAAATCAATGCAACAGTGTCATCCTCTGCAAACAGTCTGTGTTTTGTCTCCCTTAGTCTGATGCTAATAGCTTTGCCAAATTGTATCAGAGTGAAAACTGACCAGAGTCTTGTTAGTTATCAGTGGTGCAAATGGGGAACTCTATATCCAGAAGTTAAAATTAACAAGAACTGAATCAATTTTATTCTGCCACAACTTGAGCAAGCTGTGAGCTGCAGCAGAGGCAGGATCTAGTTATGGTGGAGGAGGTCCCAAAAACAGATGCTGAAGAGCAGGTTATTTAGTTATTATTTGTATTTCTTTAGTGCCTAGAGGCCTCAGTCAAAATCAGGGTTCCGGTGTATTAAGCACTGTACAAACACAGTCTAATCAGACAAGACAGACCAAGGGCAGGAGGAGAATCAGAGGCACTGGGAGGTGAAGAGACATGGCCAAGGTCACACAGTAGGTCAGCAATAGATCCCAGAATAGAACCCAGGTCTCCTGAGTTCCAGGCCCGTGCCCTGTTCTTCCTCTCTGCAGTCTCATTGTAGTACAGGGGACAGAGAGAGGAAAAGCTCTTTCTGACGTCTAAGAGCCAGAAGGGATGCGTGCTTCAGACTTATCGGATACCACCTAGTGGGAGGCTAAGATAATCCCACCGACCACACACTGATAGGAATCCTACCACCATCCCTGTGAGTTGGCTCAGTTTCTTATCTGAGACTAGCTCCTGGACTAGTGAGTGGTTTAGTCCTTGAGCTATTTTGGGTAAATCTGCACAGCCTGTGGAAGTGAGCCTCTCAGCCTGGGTCGACAGACTTGGGGTGGTGGAGCTCACACTAGCTCTCTCTAAAAACAGCTGTGTAGACAGCACTTTGAAGTTGCGGCTCAAACTGGAGCGCTGGCTCTGAAGCCTAGGGAGGGAGGTGACAGAAGTAGCTTGGAAACTCACTCATGTGGCCTATGTAGACATACCCTAAGTGTCTGGTAAACCTCTCAAGCCCTACATATGAGGAGTAAGAGAGGGAGTGAATAGGAATGAGGGTGGAGGGTAGCAGAGGGAGGGAAGAGGCTGATAGAATAAGGTAATAGAAGGGAGAAATAGTCAAGTACTGAGAGATTTTTGGGGGGAGTAGGAGAGACAAACAACTATGTGGCAGAGAAAGGGACGAATGACATATGTATGACATGTAAGCTAATTGTGAATGTTTCAATTACATTCAATAAACAATATGTAATTGTTTCATTCCTTTAAGATTTAGGGGCAGTGGCCTTGGGAGATATGGTAACACACAGATACTTTCGTCCCAAGCCCTCTGGGTGGTAGGGGTCATGTACATTTTTCAAGCCTTGTTTATCTGTCTGCAAGCAAAGGTTGTAGAATCATATCCCAATAGACTGGTTCCAGTGCAGGAGGGGGAAAAAAGAAAAGAAAAAGTAGCAAATAGTTACTGTATTGGAGACTGGAAGCTGTCTTTGGGTAAAATATATATATATTTCTGATATGCCAGTACCAAGAGTAATTAAAGTAGTGTGCATAGAATTGTTTCACTATTGTAGTTGAATACTTTCCACTGATGTTCAGATCAAGGAACACATTCTTATTTTGTCTGGGTTTTTTTAATTGATATTTTCAGGTCACCAAGATCTTTCAAAAGAAGAAGAATTCGGTCACGTACAGTTTTCGACAGTCCTTTTCCCTCTATGGAATGCAAGTTCTTCTTTTTGAAAATCAGTGTAAGTTTTTCTCTCTATTTTTCTCCATATGGTTTTCTGATATCAGGATGAAGAGCTGCCCATCAGTTTCTTAGGTCTAGGAGGTGAAGTCAGTATGTGCTGGAACTAGCCCTAGAATTAAATACAAGATGCTCTTTGAAAATAGCAGGACTGTCAAGAGACTTCTGGCTTAAGGATCGGAGTCACATCTGCCTCAGAATGGTGTTTCTGAATGCAGTGAGGACAAATTTGGTGTATCCTTTTTCTTCAGCTGCAATTAACAGATATAGTTCTAAATAATGACTGAGAGACCGATTTGAGTAAAACAGTCTCTCAGCTGCTGTTTGTTTGTTTAATATCTTTACTGATTTATAACTTAACACCGTACCTAAAAGATTAAATACAAAATATAGTTAGATGAAGTTTCTGTATTTAAAAACCTGCATCTCCTGTCCCCAGGTGTTCCCAGGGTAATTTAAATGCTTCGCCCATCAGATGTATCAAACTCGGTCTCCAGGAGACAGCCAGAGGGGGCCTTCCATATGACTATCTTGCCACTGCTCCTGGAGAGTTGAACCCCAGGAATCAATAGCAATAGCAATCTAACAGCAAGCATAGCTGTTTCTATGGGACATAAGTGGTTTCTCTGACATTTGGCACCCAGACCATGTATGGCTTTATAGATAATAGCCAAAACCTTGAACTGTGTAACAAATCCAGTGTGGTTCAGTGGTACAATAGTTTCTGGTTTCTCCAAGGTGATCCTTGCCTGCCATTCCCATAACCCCTGAAAATGAGGTCACATGCTCAAATGGCTCATCCAAATAAAGAAACAAGTTGGTGTATTTTACATGAGCTGAAAAATCCAGGTGATTTTTTTTTAAAGGGTTACAATTACGGTTTATTGCTGTAATCTAGCTGTGAGGTTACAAAGGCATGACTTACTCAGGTACAGTCCACATCACACAGGAATGTTTGCAGCCTGGTCATAGATGAAAATAGTTGTCTGCCTCCACTGTCACCTGGGCATCCAAAAGCAGCTACAGAGCTAACATAACTTCAACTGCAAACTACACTGGCAAAGATCAGACATACACCTTCAATAGAGGGCACACTTACTGACTTTGCCTAATCCTAGAGATGCTTCCCCATGCCTTTTGCTATCGATAAACCTCTTGGTTCTTGTCCACATCCTCACTTCTGTGTAAACATAAAGACCTATGGTATCTTGGAGTCAGCGGAAATTAAGCATAGCTTTGAGTGCCCCCCACAGACTGATGCTGCTGCAGCCCAAGCCATCTCATTATATGTCGCCTCTTGCAGAAGTGAAGGCACATTGAGCAGGTCCCCATATGGGAGAAGCCTTGGGGTTGCTTCTTAAAGGGAAAGGAGCAAACCCACTGAAGAGGATGTTGTGTCCATCCCTCAAAGATTCTGCAGATGAGTCAACAGAATCAGTCACACTCACAAGCACACTTCAGGGCTATAGTAACCCATTTTCTTGTTGGAAAGTAAAGCCTGATCAAATTTTTAAAAACTGTCAAAATAAAAGTAGTTTTCCAAAGAAGTTAAAAACCAAAGTGTGCAGCTAACCTGTGTATAAGCTATTTATGGACAAAGAGCTTAGAATGTGCAAACAGTACATTAGCAGGGGAAGAGAAAGTCTAGTCCCCTGTAACCTGTGAAATTCATATTCTCTTTCACTCCTGTGAGTGAGAAGAGACTAACTCAAAGTATTGCAGGGCCAGCAGAGCAGGCAAGTAACCAATATCAATCCATCCAGTAAATCTGCATGTTGCAGCTGTCAGAATCAACTTGTTCTCAGGGAATGCGATTCATGAACATTCTGAGGCCAGTGTCACTAACGCAAAGGGAGCGAAACCTTTCAATTTGGCTGATGCTGAGTCGATTGAAATTATTGGCATTGCACAGTTGATAAAGGTAAAATATATTATGGGATTTGTTGGCTCCAGATAAGGAAGTATGGCATTTATCTCTAGTGCATAAATAGGCCACAAGGAAAACATTTATATTTACAAACAAACGTAGTTTTAAAAATGTTAAGGTTAGCGGCGTATTTTTAGTGGAGTCCAGCTAAAACATAAATTATTTATCTCAGTGTTTGCTGCTGTAGGAATCTCAGTTGTATTGATAGCCGTGCTGGGCATAGGAGTTTTATTGGGGAGTTTGGTCTCTGCAGAAGAGCTGATAAGTACAATTCACTAGCTTGAATTTCTCTCTAAGTGTCCTCATAGTTATCAAGTTGCCTTACTTTTCCATGCTCAGCTGTTATGAATGTCTTTCCCCCCCCCCTTAGTTCTGCACTTTTTCTGGTTTATAACTGAATAGCTAGTTGGCTCCTCTTCCACCCAAGAAAGGTGAATGACCTGATTTCCCTTTTGGTTGAAACTATGTATGGTGCATAAGTCTTTGTGTAAACTGTAGCTGTATTTGACTCTGTGCTTCTTAAGGCAGTGTAATACTTTTTTTGGAACACAATGACCTTGGCAGCTGGGGGTAGAGATTGTCGCACACCAGATGGTGTTTCTTGAGTGAATGACCATGAGAGAGGATTTGTTGTTCTGCTTAAATAGAAATCTACAATGCTTGAATTCCATTTTGTTGTGCACTTGGAAGCACCCTGTGTTGGAGTAATGGATCATGGACTTTAATCCATGGAAGAGATCTGTATTTACTTAGTATTCGATTTGGGGACCTTCTGTCGATAAATAAGGTCGGATGGCTCAGAAAAGACATTTTATTAAATTATTTATTGCACATGTTCTAAGACTGTGTGAGGCCTCATTTCCAGGGGCCAGCAGTTCAAGCAAAAACTCAAATAGTTTTCTGTAGTGGAGAAAATCTTCATTATGTGTATATCTCGGTGTGTCTGTACCTTTCTGTTCAACTGGCAGATGTTCGTGTGACCAGCTGTTAAGACCTGCTATGTTAGATGCACAACTGGACTGCAGGCAGCTAGTTCAAGAATTAAAATGAAGACAATCTGATAAGCAAGGGCTGTTTGCCCCATCATTTACACATGCCTTTAAGTAAATGATCCCCATTGTTGTAAATAAAGGTCAGGATGTCACTGTTCATGCCCTACAGAGTAAGCACATTTTTACTCCCTCGAAGCATGACACTGGTGGGTAACATTGAACAAAAAACGTGATTGGAGAGCTGAGGTTAATACGAAACATTCCTGCCTGTTTACTCACAAACAACCAAAACAAAATGACCAAGAAGAATCTATAATTCTGAGGGTTAGTGCTAGAGTCTTTGCTCAGCAAAAATTCCCACTCAAACATGAGCAAGGTGGTGGGATCAGGACAATTGAATATAAATTATCAGACCTGTTGGGAAGAGTTATGCATGGATTTTGTCATGGATTTTTCTTCCACGCTGCACAGCACTGTCAGTGCTTAAAGGGAACGAGTGCATAAAGCTTAAATACTTCAGTATTTATTATGGAACGTTAAGTTAAGCAGTTCCATATATAGAAAGTTCTAATATGCCTTGAGGCATTTTCACTAAGCCCCTCTGTCTCTTGAGCTCTTTAGGCTTTCTTTCTGTTATGTCCACTATAATTATATACCGAAGTGTTACATTTTCAAGGCGACCCTGACCTGCTATCTCAAATTACATCTGTAAATTTTTCACTTACAGTTGTTTGCATGTGCAGACTAGATAGTTCATCTGGCTGGTTCGCACATGCAAAACGAGACTGTTAGTGTGCTAGCAATTGCACGTGCAAAGATGCCAGGCATAATTTCTGAGAAAGTTTTGAAAATTTGGCCCATAATGAATAAGAATATTAAACTTAGCCCTGGTCTACACTAGCACTTTAGGTCGAATTTAGCAGCATTAAATCGATGTAAACCTGCACCCGTCCACATGATGAAGCCCTTTATTTCGACTTAAAGGGCTCTTAAAATCGATTTCCTTACTCCACCCCTGACAAGTGGATTAGCGCTTAAATCGGCCTTGCCGGCTTGAATTTGGGGTACTGTGGACACAATTCGATGGTATTGGCCTCCGGGAGCTATCCCAGAGTGCTCCATTGTGACCGCTCTGGACAGCACTCTCAACTCAGATGCACTGGCCAGGTAGACAGGAAAAGAACAGCGAACTTTTGAATCTCATTTCCTGTTTGGCCAGCGTGGCAAGCTGCAGGTGACCATGCAGAGCTCATCAGCACAGGTGACAATGATGGAGTCCCAGAATCGCAAAAGAGCTCCAGCATGGACCAAACGGGAGGTACGGGATCTGATCGCTGTATGCGGAGAGGAATCCGTGCTATCAGAACTCCGTTCCAGTTTTCGAAATGCCAAAACCTTTGTCAAAATCTCCCAGGGCATGAAGGACAGAGGCCATAACAGGGACCCGAAGCAGTGCCACGTGAAACTGAAGGAGCTGAGGCAAGCCTACCAGAAAACCAGAGAGGCGAACGGCCGCTCCGGGTCAGAGCCCCAAACATGCCGCTTCTATGATGAGCTGCATGCCATTTTAGGGGGTTCAGCCACCACTATCCCAGCCGTGTTGTTTGACTCCTTCAATGGAGATGGAGGCAATACGGAAGCAGGTTTTGGGGACGAAGAAGATGATGATGAGGTTGTAGATCGCTCACAGCAAGCAAGCGGAGAAACCGGTTTTCCCGAGAGCCAGGAACTGTTTCTCACCCTGGACCTGGAGCCAGTACCCCCCGAACCCACCCAAGGCTGCCTCCTGGACCCAGCAGGCGGAGAAGGGACCTCTGGTGAGTGTACCTTTTAAAATACTATACATGGTTTAAAAGCAAGCATGTGAAAGGATTACTTTGCCCTGGCATTCGCGGTTCTCCTGGATGTACTCCCAAAGCCTTTGCAAAAGGTTTCTGGGGAGGGCAGCCTTATTGCATCCTTCATGGTAGGACACTTTACCACTCCAGGCCAGTAACACGTACTCGGGAATCATTGTAGAACAAAGCATTGCAGTGTATGTTTGCTGGCGTTCAAACAACATCCGTTTTTTATCTCTCTGTGTTATCCTCAGGAGAGTGAGATATAATTCATGGTCACCTGGTTGAAATAGAGTGCTTTTCTTCAGGGGACACTCAGAGGAGCCCATTCCTGCTGGGCTGTTTGCCTGTGGCTGAACAGAAATATTCCCCGCTGTTAGCCACGGGGAGGGGGTAGCCACGCGGTGGGGGGAGGCAAAATGCGACCTTGTAATGAAAGCACATGTGCTATGTATGTAATGTTAACAGCAAGGTTTACCCTGAAAGAGTGTAGCCACTGTTTTATAAAATGTGTCTTTTTAAATACCGCTGTCCCTTTTTTTTCTCCACCAGCTGCATGTGTCTCAATGATCACAGGATCTTCTCCTTCCCAGAGCTAGTGAAGCTTAGAAAGAAAAAAAAACGCACTTGCGATGAAATGTTCTCCGAGCTCATGCTGTCCTCCCACACTGACAGAGCACAGACGAATGCGTGGAGGCAAATAATGTCAGAGTGCAGGAAAGCACAAAATGACAGGGAGGAGAGGTGGCGGGCTGAAGAGAGGGCTGAAGCTCAAATGTGGCGGCAGCGTGATGAGAGGAGGCAGGATTCAATGCTGAGGCTGCTGGAGGACCAAACCAGTATGCTCCAGTGTATGGTTGAGCTACAGCAAAGGCAGCTGGAGCACAGACTGCCACTGCAGCCCCTCTGTAACCAACCGCCCTCCTCCCCAAGATCCATAGCCTCCGTACCCAGACGCCCAAGAACGCGGTGGGGGGGCCTCCGGCCAACCAGCCACTCCACCACAGAGGATTGCCCAAAAAAAAGAAGGCTGTCATTCAATAAATTTTAAAGGTTAAAGTGCTGTGTGGCATTTTCCTTCCCTCCTCCACCACCCCTCCTGGGCTACCTTGGTATTTGTGTGATGAATGAATAAAGAATGCATGAATGTGAAGCAACAATGACTTCATTGCCTCTGCAAGCGGTGATTGAAGGGAGGAGGGGGCGGGTGGTTAGCTTACAGGGAAGTAGAGTGAACCAAGGGGCGGGGGGTTTCATCAAGGAGAAACAAAGAGAACTTTCACACCGTAGCCTGGCCAGTCATGAAACTGGTTTTAAAGCTTCTCTGATGCGTACCGCGCCCTCCTGTGCTCTTCTAACCGCCCTGGTGTCTGGCTGCGCGTAACCAGCAGCCAGGCGATTTGCCTCAACCTCCCACCCCGCCATAAACGTCTCCCCCTTACTCTCACAGATATTGTGGAGCACACAGCAAGCAGTAATAATAGTGGGAATATTGGTTTCGCTGAGGTCTAAGCGAGTCAGTAAACTGCGCCAGCGCGCCTTTAAACGTCCAAATGCACATTCTACCACCATTCTGCCCTTGCTCAGCCTGTAGTTGAACAGCTCCTGACTACTGTCCAGGCTGCCTGTGTACGGCTTCATGAGCCATGGCATTAAGGGGTAGGCTGGGTCCCCAAGGATACATATAGGCATTTCAACATCCCCAACAGTTATTTTCTGGTCTGGGAAGAAAGTCCCTTCCTGCAGCTTTTGAAACAGACCAGAGTTCCTGAAGATGTGAGCGTCATGTACCTTTCCCGGCCATCCCACATTGATGTTGGTGAAACGTCCCTTGTGATCCACCAGAGCTTGCAGCACTATCGAAAAGTACCCCTTGCGGTTTATGTACTCGGCGGCTTGGTGCTCCGGTGCCAAGATAGGGATATGGGTTCCGTCTATGGCCCCACCACAGGGAATCCCATTGCAGCAAAGCCATCCACTATGACCTGCACATTTCCCAGGGTCACTACCCTTGATATCAGCAGATCTTTGATTGCGTGGGCTACTTGCATCACAGGAGCCCCCACAGTAGATTTGCCCACTCCAAATTGATTCCCAACTGACCGGTAGCTGTCTGGCATTGCAAGCTTCCACAGGGCTATCGCCACTCGCTTCTCAACTGTGAGGGCTGCTCTCATCTTGGTATTCATGCGCCTCAGGGCAGGGGAAAGCAAGTCACAAAATTCCATGAAAGTGCCCTTACGCATGCGAAAGTTTCGCAGCCACTGGGAATCGTCCCAGACCTGCAACACTATGCGGTCCCACCAGTCTGTGCTTGTTTCCCGAGCCCAGAATCGGCATTCCACAGCATGAACCTGCCCCATTAGCACCATGATGCGTGCATTAGCAGGGCCCATGCTTTCAGAGAAATCTGTGTCCATATCCTGATCACTCACGTGACCGCGCTGATGTTGCCTCCTCGCCCGGTATCGCTTTGCCCAGTTCTGGTGCTGCATATACTGCTGGATAATGCGTGTGGTGTTTAATGTGCTCCTAATTGCCAAAGTGAGCTGAGCAGCCTCCATGCTTGCCTTGGTATGGCGTCCGCACAGAAAAAAGGCGCGGAACGATTGTCTGCCGTTGCTCTGACGGAGGGAGGGGCGACTGACGACATGGTTTACAGGGTTGGTTTCAGGGAGCTAAAATCAACAAAGGGGATGTCTTTACATCAAGGAGTATTTCAGGCAGGACTTCACGGAGGGTTCCAATAAGAAATGGTGCACCTAAGTTATTGTTCTTATTGGAACGAGGAGGTTAGCCTGGCCTCTGATTGATACATGGCTAGATTTACCTCGCTGCACCTTCTCTGTGAGTGACTGCAGTGTGACCCAGAGGAATGAGTCCCCTAGACAGGGGAGGAGGCAAATGAGTACAAAACGAATCTGGTCTATTTCTTGTTTTCATCCACTCCATCTATCTTTTACATCTTTGGCTGGCAGCAGATGGTGCAGAAGGACTGCATGCCATCCACATCTCATGGCTGCTCGGCAGAAGATGGTACAGTACGACTGCTAGCCAGCCTCATCTCTTGCCTGCCTGGCAGAAGATGGTACAATACGACTGCTAGCAATCCTCATCTCTTGCCTGCCCGGCAGAAGATGGTACAGTACGACTGCTAGCAATCCGTATCGCCTGCCTGCTCACCATAAGACGGTTCAATAGGACTGACTGCAGGACTAAAGAGAATGACCTGGTCAAGTCACTCCAAATTTAGTCCCTGCACCCATGTCTGCCCAGGCGCTCCCAGCCGACGTGGCCAGGAGCACCTCGGACACAACGAGGACGGCTACCAGTCGTACTTCACTGTCTGCTGCCAGAAGGCAATGGGTTGCTGCTACTGTGTAGCAAAGCCGTACCGCGTCTGCCAGCACCCAGGAGACATAGGGTGACGGTTACCTGAGTGGGCTCCATGCTTGCCGTGGTATGGCGTCTGCACAGGTAACTCAGGAAAGAAGGCGCGAAACGATTGTCTGCCCTTGCTTTCATGGAGGGAGGGAGGGAACGGGGGCCTGACGATATGTACCCAGAACCACCCGCGACAATGTTTTAGCCCCATCAGGCATTGGGATCTCAACCCAGAATTCCAATGGGCAGCGGAGACTGCGGGAACTGTGGGATAGCTATCCACAGTGCAATGCTCCGAAAGTCGACTCTAGCCTCGGTACTGTGGAAGCAGTCCGCCAAGTTAATGCACTTAATGCACTTAGAGCATTTTCTGTGGGGACACACACACTCGAATATATAAAACCGATTTCTAAAAAACCGACTTCTATAAATTCTACCTTATTCCGTAGTGTAGACATACCCTTAATTTATAAAGTATATCATTGTTTGCAATCTGCTGAATCAAACTAATGTAACACACTAGATATATATATATAATTTTAGATCAATTTTTAAAATATATTATTTGTAAAGACCTTCAATAGATTGTTTGCTTGCTGCAGTATTGTTTAGGTCTTTAGTAATGTTAGGGTTAATGTTTTCATTTAAACTAGACATGTTTGGTTTGTCTTTTTGTTTGTTTGTTTTAAATCCAGGGATACTGACTGGGATTTACTTTACTTTAGTCAAGGTTAGCTTAAATCTGAACAAGTTGTCCCTTTGAGCAAATCAGCCAAACCTGTTTTTTTTACTGGCATTGCTACTACAAACAGATTTCATTTGTGTGTTAGTGTTATTATTGTCCATGAGGATGTTCAGTGAGATTTATCTTCCTTTAGAAAATGCATCTGGGTTCTGAGCAGGTAAAATGGCCTTCTGAGTTTTTGAATGTGGTAGTAAAGACTGCTTTTCTCTGACGTCTGTCCAGGGTTCGGAAATGGTAACAAAGAGAATTAGTGAAAAAATAAGTAAAAATGGAAGAGAATAAAATTAAAGATAATAAACATTATTTAGCCTTGTCTTTTCTCCCTTCCCCCTTCCCACCCACAGATTATCCAAATGGCATACGGCTTACATCAGCTGTTCCAGGAGCAGATATCAAAGTCCTAATAAATTTCAATGCACCCAATCCTCAGGATAGAAAGAAATTTACGGATGACTTGAGAGAGTCTATTGCAGAAGTTCAAGAAATGGAAAAGCACAGAATAGAGTGTAAGTACAAAGGTACATATAATAGAGCATTTTCAAACTAATCAACAATTAGTAAATGAGTTTAAGATATATGTAATATAATCCACCAGGATTTAAATCTTAAAATAATGTAGCTCTCCATCTGTGGCTTTGATATTATTTTAGAGATAAAACAGTGATTCCTAAAACTCCTGCCAGGATCTTTAGACTGATAGCTAGTGTACTATGTAATTGCAATAGAAATATATCTTAAGCACCAGCAAAAACTGACTGATGAGTAAGTAGAGGGTGGGTCTGTACCAAATACGGTGAATAAGTTGTACTTAAGTTTTAGGGCTATTTTAAATGGCTTCTTAAAAAGAGGTATTGTCTTTTGGAGATGGGCTTTAGAAGAACGTTCACTCTATTTCTCTTTATATCAAACTTTATTCTTTTGAAACGCATCATGTTTGCTGCTGCTTCAGTAGCCATTGTGCAAATGAACTTACTGGAAGCTGCAGATATCTATCTATCTATCTATCTAAACATAGGATTTTATATTCTATTTTTCCAGCATGTGACATCCTTTCATCACATATGTTATGTTATAAAGCCACTAGGACAGGGATCAAGTCTTCCTCCATGTACAGTTCAACTCCACAATAAACTGACATCTCTGGATACATAATATTTGGCTTGTCATGTCATTGGCTCCCTTTCATTATAGTCAATAACTATGAACTGTACAATCATTCTCTTTGTTTCAGCTGAGCTAGAAAAACAGAAAGGTGTGGTACGTCCAAGCATCTCCCAGTGCTCCAGCCTCAAAAAAGAATCTGGCAATGGGACGCTGAACAGAGCCTGCCTGGACGACAGCTATGCCACTGGGGAGGGACTGAAAAGGAGTGCACTCAGCAGCTCCCTTAGAGACCTCTCTGAAGCTGGTAAGCACCACATTTATTCCCTGCTCCATATACCAGTGCGTGCAAAGAAGTGTGATAGATAGTTAAACTTTCCGTATTGCTTCTTTACATGGTCGCCATTCACAAATGAGCTTGTTTTTACGTCTATTTGCTTTTTTTTTTTAACATTTGTTCTTGGTTTTATTGTTGGGTTTGTTTTTTATTTATTTTATTTTACCTTATTTTACTGAACAAACTCTTTGAAAATATCAAACTGTTATAGCTTGCTATGTATACTTTTAAAGGAGAATGGAGACTGAGGCAAAATTGTAAGTGTATTATAGAAAAATGGTTGACTAGTGCTAGGAATAACCCACTTAGAATTCCTTTGTTTTTTCTCTTATTTTTTCCCTCCTTGTTAATGTAGACTTAGAAAGAAAACACTGAGGTCCCTATGCAATGACTGCTTCCTGTGTATTTTGTGCTTAAGTGTACCCATGTACTACATTGATGAATGAAATTGAGTGAAGCCCTACTAAATTCTATCTAGAGTGATCGTATCAGTCACACAGCATAACTGAATTATATCTCATCATTGTATTACGCACAACATAGGTCCTAATTCTTGCTGAAGCTGTTGTTTGCAAAATACTATTGCCAGAGTCATAGGAAAAAGCCCTGCTGGGCACAGTAGTAATGTCCCCAAGAGTCATAGCTGCTGCTGTGGCTAAAATTGGACCTGACCGATCTAAATGGGGTTTTCTAAATATTTATACATTCCAAAAAATGGAAATGGAAAGATTGGTATGTGCCTGTCTTTATTTTATTTATTTGTTTTGCTACATGTCATTAATTATTAGTAATTAGCACCCTCATGTTTTCCAGACTTCCAGGGGCAAATGTTCAGCCCTGTGTTTAGAATGTTAGGCACACTGCTCCTGTTATTGCTCATAGAAGTTACACCTGTAACACCAGCCACGCCACACTGACAGTACCCATAAGAGTAGCAGCAATTGAATTTTTAAAAAAATATTTTATCTGGTTGTATTATTTATTTTGATTTGTTTTTTTAAATGGTGTATGATCTACAGTGGAGGCATAATTTTGTAATACTGTATATATCTTGGTTAGCCCCTGTTAGCCTTTCCTTTTAATATCAAAGAGGAGGATTTAGCTGCAGTAAATAAAACACTGGTAAATTGAATATGTAGAGTGTGTATGTACGTACGTACGTACGTATGTACATGTGTGTGTATATATATATATATATCTATATATACGTACACACCACCCCTCTATTATCACTTGTGTTTACTCTCTGTTTATATCCATCTATACCCATCTGCCTCATTAAAAGACATGGGGCCTGATCCAAAGCCCACTTCAAGTCAGTGAGAGTCTTTCCGTTGACTTCAGTTGGGGTTGGACCAAGCCCAAGTCCTCATTGTTATTAAATCTAAGCTGTATGGATACCTTCATCATTTTTTGTTTTATTTTAAGTTCATTTAGAATGAGAACAGCCATGTTACTGGATGTGGGAGTTTCATGGCTATACAAACCAATTTCCGTGGTTCCTGATTAACTCTCTTCATCCCAAAGGAATTTTCCATCACGGTCTTCCAAATATTGCCATGTACATAAATCCCTTTACAGGGTTATGTTCAATAAACCAGATGAATTCCTCTTGATCATGAAAACTTTCATATTTCAAAATTGTATGCCCGCTGTTGGCATGCTTATTATTGAAAGTGGTCTTTTTCCATGTTAGAAAGTAGAAATCATTTACAGACTGGAGGGTTTATCGATTAATTTGTTAAACCCAACCCAACTCAACTTAATTTTAATATTTACCCACTGACAGTTATGGAGAGCTTCTGTTTGGTCTTGTGCAGTGCATTTAACTTGAAAAATTACACACCTGTCACTTGATTTAGGTTAATAAAACACCATTTTCAGTCCCTGGGTACATACTACTATTTCTGTGGTACATCAAAATCACTGTAGTGCGTTTTACAAGTACCTCCTCTAAGTTTAGCTTGCTTAGGGGGATTCACTCTGTTTTAGTATGGAACAGATGACCCCTAGAAAAATCAAAGAAAAATTTACCAGTTAGCAGAGGCATTGTGGTTCAATGACTGTACCAAAGCAGCAGACACACAAATAACTTCTGAAAAAGGTGGGCTGAAATTAGTTCATCCTAATTCTTGGTGTTTGTACTGCCATGACATGAAATATAGGATGATAAAGAAAGAGGATCTGGGTGTACTGTGTGTGTATGTGTGTTTGTATAGAAAATGGGGATAGTGGGCTGGATTTTTAAGGGGTTTCTTAATTTTGCAAAAATCCAATTTTACATGTGCAAACTGAGTAATTGCATATGCACAGAGTTCAGTGCATAATTTCCTAAGGAACACTGCAGAGGTTTTTTTGAAAGCACTCTAAAAATATGGTTCTATGAAAGGGGAATCTGATTCTGTAAAGAAAGTTTTGGCTATGCAGGTTTCTGATGAAGCTGTGGTTTGGAAAACATTAGCTAATTTCCCCTTGCCAGAAGTCGTCATACCTATCACAGAGGAATAGTAGTAGGGAAAAGTGCCTTTAAAATGTTTTCTATGCTTGAAAAGGAAAAAATAAATTAAGTCTCAAATCTAAAGAGAAAAAAGACTGTTTGACCCTTTCACCTCCTACAAGCTGAAATTGGTTTTTGGAGAGCAATAGTTCAATTCCACAACAGGCAAACAATATCTGATATTGACCAGGTACTCTTTGCTGCTGGCTATTTTTCCATGAAAACATAAGTTGTATTTGTAAAAATTAAGTGAATGGGGGCTTTGGGGGTTTTAAGGTTAGTATTTAATAACCCTTATCTTGTTCTCTCTGATCTGACGTCTGCTGCCATGGAATAAAAAGTAGAAATGGGAACTGGCAGCCAGCTGTATTACAAAACATGAATGAGTCAAAAGCATTTAATACTTCATCCTTTTTCAAATATGAAAAATGTGAGCATTTTTGTTGCTCATAACTGAACTGTCAGCCTGAATTGTCAGTGTGATTAGCTCTGTCCACTGAAAAATAGTCAAGAAAAAACATACTTATTTACCCTAGAATGTAGAATTCCAAATTCATGTGTAAAATGTTAGAAGGAAACAAAACGCAACTAGAAAAGGAATGGATTGTGCCAAACTCTAAGAGAACTTTAGACAATTCCAAAGCTTTCTTCCATTTATGATATTGAAATGGGCCTACACATAGATATGAAAGATGAAAACTATCCCATCACAATTAGTAATGGGGGAACAGTGGTTTTGTGATTAAAAGACAGGACTGGGGAAGATATGTGGGTTTCTGATTCTGTATCTGCCACAGATTTCCTGGGTGACTTCAAGCAAGTCACAGCCTGATTTTCAGAAGTGCTGAGCACCTGTAGTTCCCAGTTACTTTCTATGGAGTTAGGAGTGCTCAGCATCTCTGGAAATCGGGCCCTTAACCTCTTTTTGACTCGCCATATCAATGTGTAAAATGGGGACAAATATTTACTTTCCTTCCAGAGGTGTGGTGAAGTTTGATGCACTCCTGATGGTAACATGAGAGAGTGCATAGAAGTGCAAGGCTATTGTTACTACAACTGCAAGAGGGCACTGTTCCTGGTAGTCTCAGCAAATATCCCCAATACTTGTATTGTAATAGTATATGAGTACTGACTGGCATTAAGGGCTAGAAACAATAAAATATAGCCCAAGTTTAAAAATTGTCCCTTTGCTTCTTGTATATTGCCCCAAACTTCATTTGTTGTCCTTTTTTTTTTAAACACTCTTCCTGCCCTTGAAACCAATATATGATGGTTTTTATTAATCCTTCATAGTATTTTCCAATTTTTCTCTTGCCCATAGTTTACTCTCTGGGGAAAGACTGCAGGGATCTTCATTACCCCATATGTTCCGTATACAGAAGCAGACTTCATGTTGTTGCAGAACCTTTACCCACCAGTAGGAGGAGTCTTCAAGGGAATGGTTCAGGCTCTAAGGTCCTCCCTCATCCACATGATGCTGGGAGAGATTAAAAGTTTCTCTACTCACTCTTCTCCCTTGGGCTGAGGTGGAAGGAGGCAAAACGAACATTATTTGGGGTATGAGACATTAGAGCTCTTCAGTCAAGATCTCCAGGGGAGCAGAAGGGCTGAATCTATTTCCATAGAGAAAGTGGTGCAGGGGAGATACAGGACCCTAATGCCACAAGTTTCCTCTTTTCTTGCTATCATTGTCATCTTCCTTCTGTCCCCACTGGATGTTAGTGATGCCTGGCATGGTTCGTGTCTCTGGATGTGTGTACTATTGCCTGCTTCTGTTGATTCTCATTATATACCCCATTTTTAACCAAGTGGATTCTTATGAAAAAATCTGGTAGCTTGTGTTTATGTAAATACCCAAAGCATTCTGCAAATATATATATATGCAGGAATCACCCACACACTCACCCTTGAAATATAGCCACCACCAACACTACTCCACTGGTTTATAGAGGGGAAATTATTCGCTTCTCCAAGGCAAGGGGAATTTAGGTAGGCAGGATGTAATTACATGCACTGAATTTGACCAGTGTGCCAAGGATAATGCTCCTAAAGTGAAGAGAGCCAGGAGTTTTTTAATCACAAGTGGTCAAGACCACAATTGCATGCCTCAACCAAAAGACTGTATTAAAAGACCCCTAGAAGTGGTCCTTCCAGATTATGATTGTGGCATGTCGGTGAGGTAGTATTGGGCATTTGAACTACCTCTGCTTGTGTCAGGCCTGGCCTCTGGGTAACTAGATGGCAACAAAAACAATGAGGCACCTTACAGACTAACAAATTTATTTGGGCATTTGTGGGCTGCAACCCACTTCATCAGATGCATGGAGTGAAAAATACAGTAGGCAGGTATAAATATACAGCACATTAAAAGATGGGAATTGCCTTACCAAGTAGGGGGTCAGTGCTAATGAGGCCAATTCAATCAGGGTGGATGTGGCCTATTCCCAACAGTTGACAAGAAGGGGTGAATATCAACAGAAGGAAAGTTCCTTTTTGTAGTGCTAACGAGGCCAATTCAATCAGGGTGGATGGCAACAGTTTTCACTCCCATGAATACTACTTTCACAGCGTGCTGAAGCTAGTACAGTGACTCATTATTTGGTAGATGGCTGTTAAAATAGTTTACTTCACTAAGAACATAATTTGAATCCTTTTCCAGACGATTTTAGCCAAGAATCACAAACTGAATCACAAGAAGTGCCATTGATCTCAGTATGCCTCTCACTGGCGTAGAGCAGATAGACCCAAGAAGTACAGTACAGTAGTGACAACTGAAATTTAACATTTCCTTTAACATTCTGCATATCTAAGGTCAATTTCTGCAAGGACACAATGGATTTTCATTCACGATTCCCTGTAAGAGCTCACAGAATTTGCAAGTCTCTGTAAGGATATTCTAATTTCTAATTGTTTCAAGTGTATCGAGTTTAAAGTGACCTTGTTTGTACATGTGGAGATATGTTGCAGTAGTGCACCTTAGTGATGCTTACTCAGAAGCAGCATACAACCATCACAGTCAATTACCAACCATGACAGAAGTGAATTGGTCAAGAGAACAAGAATTTAACTTTCAAAGGAGAGGAAAGAGAGCTGGAATTTAATTTTACAAAGAGAGGAATGAGAAACGGTGTTGTGTAACGACCTTCAAAAATATTAAAAGTAAAACTCAACTTGCTGAGCACGAGTCATAAATTTGATAAACATCACCTAGTTTTATAGCACAGCAGCTAATAATCATTCTAGTGTAGAGTTATGCTATACGTAACAGCTGAATAAGCTCCTTCTATCCTGGAGTTACCATTTCCCTGCAATGCCTTTTGAAGACTGCAGCTCAAAGAAAACATTTTAAGCTGGGATGGATGTAGCATTGAAAAATAGTTTGTAATAAAACGATCCTACACTGGCAAGGGAATACTCTGTAGGATCTAATAGGTCATTTCCATTTCTGATTGTCTGTCTACAGCCCATAGTGAACCTGTTTCACTTTGTTTTTAAGAAACTATGTCTTTGCTCTTGGAAGAACTTACCAGAGGGCTCTTTAATGTACAGTAGTGATTATTATAGATGTCACAAATATGATTTCACTTTTTTCTGCTAGTATTCCTTTGCCCACAGTCATCTTAGGTACATAGACAGATGCTCACCCATCTGTCCACATATACTGCATTCATCACTGTGGCATCTGAACATTTTCACTCCTGCTTTACCTTCAGTGGGAGACCTTAGGTTTTTCTGTGTTCCTTCATGCCTGGCCCCTTTTATTCACCTTTGCCAGAATAATACCCATCTCCCCATTCAGTGGTGGATCTCTTCCTTCAGGATTGTGGATTGGCTGGCAGGAGTGATTTGACTGTCACAACCAGCACCATTACTACCAATAAACAAAGAGCAAAATTCACCCTCTGACTAGGCAATAAGAATTCTAAGATAATCAAAACCGCTTCTCTCTCATGGCACACAATACAGTATTGACATGTTTTCGAGCAAGGTAAAACTGCAGTAAAGAATGTACCACAAAGATTTTGGCAAAGAGCTCTTCCAAAGGAATTGCTCATCTGCAAACACATAATCTCAGTTTAAAGGGTTTATGTTGAGAACTGTGAATTGTTGCAAACGTAGGACCCTTAGTCATAGCAAAGGGGAAAGGAATATCTCATTCCTCTCCGGCAACACTCTTTGGAGCAGCAATGGCAGGCTCTGAAGAGAACTGTATCAAGCCTTCCGATACAGAAAGGAGGTTTGCTGTGACACTGGGCCTTTTAAGAAAAGTGGTGGGGCATCAAGAGAGAAATATGGAATGCATGTAGCTTTTGGAGATGCTTGGAGAAGCTGATCACTCTTCCATCCTGATGATACCTTAGAGACTAACAAATTTATTTGAGCATAAGCTTTCATGAGCTACAGTTCACTTCATCGGATGCATGATGCTGTAGCTCACGAAAGCTTATGCTCAAATAAATTTGTTAGTCTCTAAGGTGCCACAAGTACTCCTTTTCTTTTTGCGAATACAGACTAACACGGCTGCTACTCTGAAACCTGTCATCCTGATGATGTTAGCTTTGTTTGATCATCCCCTAAACAGAACATTCTTACATTTGTTAGCTTAATATCCAACAAGCTAAATTCAATAAAAATAACTATTCTGTGTAGATACACATATTATCTCTGATGAATTAGCTGGGCAGCCCAGTTATTAAATCTGGGTGCATAATCTTATATTTGGGCATCCTGTTTTTCGGCACTTAGCTTCCTAAAATCAGTATTTAGAAGCCAACTGAGACTTCCACATTTAAGGTTTGGGCAACTAACTTTGGCATCCACCTTAGGAAAATTCAGCCCGACTACTTTGTCAGCCTTAATACCTAAATGTAAAGCACTGCACAGCTAGACAAACAAAATCTAGCCATAATTGAATGGCTACATTTAAGTTATTTTTCTTTTTAATCATCATGAAAGAAGATTATATGAAATCCATTGAGGTTCAAAATAAAACATTCAAAGGATGACAGAGATTTTCCATTTCCCCTCCCCACTGAAATCAGAAAGTTCCCCATAATTCAAAACAAAACAAAAGGACACCACCCACAACACTGTTTGAGGAAAACAGATTTATGGACATATTTGAAAATTTGCTTCTAGGAAATTAAGAAATTAAAACTCTAGCCAACAGTGAACGTTATGACCCCCACTGCTAAATGTAGAGACTAAAATATACATATTTTAAGATTCTTTTAAAAAACAAAAACACAGTAAAGATGACAACTTGCTTCAAAACAAAAGGATCATCCTTTATAGGATACATATAGGTACAGAAACTTAATTTAATTAATGGCCTTAAAGTTTAAGTTTCTGCCTTAGTAGTTACTATACCGGTCTAACTTACCATAATAAATTAGTTCCCCGGAGGCCCCTCTAGTTGCGTTTAGAGGCTCCTGTAGTAATTAAGGGAAGTGGATATTTTTCACCCAGGTCTTGTCTCAGTCTCTAATCTATGGTATTGCATGTCCTGGGCAGGCAAGCGTGGGCGTCGCAGCAGTGCAGGATCGCTAGACAGCAATATGGAAGTAAGTAGGAAGTTACTGATGTCTAGCTGGATGTGATGATGTGCATTTCAAACCTTTCTTTTATATACATATTTTTTTGCTCTCTTTCTTCTAACATATAACCTGCCTGCCTCAGATAAAATGCATGCGTAGGCTACTCACTTTGTATTATTCCAGCTTAAAAAACACTTATGGCTTGTTTTGGACTAAGCACCATTTTTGGTTTCAGCTAACCTTGTTCCCTCCTCTGTTCCTGCAAGCATGGTTAAATGAACATGATGTCCTTTTGCCACCATTTCGGTCTGATCCCAGCCTGAAGGCCCACTTGCACTTCGTTACACAGTACACTGTTCTATGCTGTTTGATATCTAGCTAACACTATTGACTTTCATGCTCAGCCATTCCCATTGCTTATTTTCTAGTTAAATTGCTAAATGTTTGCAGTCATACCACCATGGAATTGCACAGATAGGGCATGGGAGGAGAAAATGAGTAAGACAGATGAATTCAATGTGGATTTCATGAGATTTCATTCATCTTCAAACCATGTATATATACTGTTCATGTCGTTGAATTCAGCTTGCAGATTTATTTATTTTTTTGTGTGTGTGTGTTTGCGTTGGGTAGATTGCAGTTTAAATCTAGCACGTTATTCTTAAGTACTGCTTTGTCCCTAATGGTTTTAAAAAAAAAAATCTCCAAAGACTAAATAGACAATTCAAGGCTAAATAGTAGGGAACATGGGCCATAGGTCAGAAAAAAATCACCACGTAGAAACCTTATTGAAATGAGTTGTAGAAGTATTGTTGCAGTCTAACATATAATATAAAGCTAGGTTTATGAAGCAGCACAACCCTTCCCTACTGCGGTTTACAATAAGAAAAAACTACTTTTAAATTTAAATTAAAAAAAAAATCTATTATGAAATTGGAATGGTAACTAACATGTGTTACTGTGTGTTCATTTCAGTTTAATTTAATGTAGCTTTTTTATTTTAAGAAAAATGTGACTGGTATTTTAAAATGTATTTTTTCTTTAAAACAAATTCCCAGGTATAATGTCATCTTTCATTGACATTTCTCTTAATTTAAGTATCAGATTTTTACAATAAAAGTATTAAAAGAGAAACCAGATAATGGCTATTAATGTTTATAAGCATTCCAAGAAGGGCATGAATGCCTCAACTGTAGCTTGAAGAGAGAAACTGTCAGAAGAGAAATTCTGCTATAACACTTAACATAGTCAGCCCATGTGAGCATGTAAGGAAGACTTGATGGATCAGTGTGAACTTTTTCTTTTAAACATATTTTAAGATTTTTTTTTTAATTTTAATTTCTATTAATTTCTTTTAGGGGTCCATCATTAGCAGTCCTCACATGCGCCGAAGAGCTACATCAACCCGAGAGTGTCCATCTCGCCCTCACCAGGCTATGCCTAACTCTTCCTCACTCCTAGGTTCCTTATTTGGTAGTAAAAGGGGGAAGCCACCTTCCCAAGGCCATCCACCATCTGGCCCATCGCAGCAGCCTCAGCACCCACCTGTAATCCCACATCAGCAACACTCTCAGCATCCTTCTGCCATGCACCATGCAGGGCCAGCTGAGACGCAGGCACAAGTGCACACTCACCATTCACAGTACTGTCACATGCAGCAGAACCCACCCCCTTATCATCACCATCACCACTATCATCCTCCACAGCACATCCAGCACACGCACCAGTACCATCCACATGTGCCTCATTCCCAGCATGCAGCACATTCTTCTTACATGCAGCACCCTCATTCACAACATACCCACCCTCCGCACCCTCCATTGCCCCCCCCCTCACCCTGGGCACTCTTCTCATTCCCAACATGCTCAGCATCACCATGGACAGTCAGCTCCTCCTTCCACTTCAAGCAGCGCTAAGCCCAAACACAGTGGCATCAGCACAATAGTCTAGAAGTATTTGTCCTAATAATGGTAGTTTTAGGCACGGTTATAAAGGCACTTAAAGGAAGCAGCAAATAAAATGTGGATTTTTACCCAGCCAAACAATTTTTGACTTCTGCAAGCTTAAGGACTTGCTGTTACTAAATACAACCATTTGAATTAGTGTGATCAATATTGGTTTTACTTATCTCTTCAGCGGAGGCTTGCCTTCTGTCCAGTCCTTATCTTCAATTGCCTTGAAAACATGCTGCTTACTGAATACAAGTTAAGCTTCCTTTTTCACCAAATCCCATGACAATTTTACATGCATAATAAAAACATAACCTATTAAAAAAAAAAGTGATTCAGAACCAAGTGTTGCATTCTTGCTCTTTTATTGTCAATAGGCAAAAAAATAAGTAGACCTGATATGGTTGATGAAAGTACGTAAGTAAACTTTATGTAATATAAATATATATATAAATATATATATACTGTATAGTTAACATTTGTGCTTCGAAAGCAAATTTTTCAGTCCACAAAACTAGCAATATAGACTTTACACGGAATTACACTTACTTGATAGAAGGACAGTAACAATATAGCATATGAAAGAGTAGACCAAAAACTTTAAATGCTAGGAATAAATTTCAGACATTTCAGTATTTTAATTTAAAAGTCCTCTAGACATATTAAGACTCTAAGCAATCATTACTAAAATGTGCCAAGTAACATAGTATTTAACTGTTGTAGTAAAATATTGCTTTGTATAAATCCTTATTTTTATTAACATAATATCATATGTAATCAGTATTATAACTGCTCTGCTATTTCAGGAAAGCAAACTAGTTAAGATGCAGTAACTATACAGTAGCAACATGGGATGACCATTTACCACTGGTTATCTTAAAGCATTGGTTACACAAATTCTTAGACACTTTAAAGGCTGTGATAACTGTGAATTTACATGATCCGCATTTCTTTTATATGCATATGATTTTATGAACACATATGAAGAGTTACATGAAAGGTGCATGCCTACACTGCAAAAACATTCATCTCAAACATGATGAAAATTACAAACACCCATCCTTCTCAGTCACTTCATTTTCCTATTTACCATGACTTGCTCATTTTTTCAGTTAAAATGAACTATAATCTGACAGTGTTTCCAGATGGAACTGCTCTAAAATTTTAAGGTGTATTTTAGTATCTAGTATAGTGTGGTTATTTGGTTTTGGTTTTGGTTTTTTTAGTAGTGTAATTCCATATAGCCATATGCTAGCGGCAAAGTGGGTTCACCATTTTTACTCATCACATTTGTTAGTTTACACAGCACTCAGCAGGCTGAGTTTATGCTCAAACCCTCACTGTCCCACTCCAATTAGTTGCAAGACATCATATAAAAGCAGGCTGTGCTGTTGTTGTTTGTGTTGTAATCAAGCCGTTTGCAAATTCATATGAGATTTTGTATCCCTGAATCCTGTACAAAGTCATACATGGAGCATACTTTGTAGTTTCAGCATTTTGAGCCACTGCAAGGACTTTACACCTAAATGGTAGAAACAAAGGAACCACAACTGCAAAACTACACCAGCTAAAATGCAAAACTTGAAGAAGGGAAAAAAAGAAGTTCCCGTGTGAGATGGGTAAAAAGAAGTCGGAAAAGAACCAGATCTGTCTGTTTATTTGAACAATACAAATATATAGTAGCGTTGTATAAGGAAAGGATGAACTTTCCGTATTGAGTTACTTTTGGTATCTTTAATTTGGTTTTTCCCCTCCCCGTTTCTCCTACAGTTGATATCCTAATACCAGCAAAACTGCAAACTGAGCACTTTGTTAATCTTCATAAAGAGCAAATATAGCAATCTAGAGTTTAGCCTTTTGCTAAAATCTGTCCATGTTTGTTCCCCCGTGTGCAATATCTTTGATCCCTTTTGCTCCTATAAATTAATCTTACATGAAATGAGAATAACACAAATATTTTTTAATATCATTCAAGCTATCCTAAATTCTGTGTCTTGCCTTACGAGGCTGATCTGGGCCCTCGGAGGCTCTATTCCTTGCAGTTTAAAAAATACTGTTCTTGTAAGGGAAAGTAGAATTGTCTGCATGTCCTCTAACATTAATAGTGTGAGGCTACACTCTACATATTGTATATTTGCACAATACATCAGTGTTACTGTTGATATTAGTTGAAGTAAAGGGATACATATTTAAATATGTCTGCTTTTCTTCATACCTGTGTACCAATAGTAGAGTCTAACTGTAATTTATAGGTTGTTCCAGAAAAGATAAAGATACCATTCAGGTACAAAAGTCTTTCTGAAACCACATCTTTTAATGAAAACTGAGGTAAAAATGCTCCTCTCCATCGCATACTATATATTCTGAACTTGTTCTGTATGCAGAATTATTGATGTCAGTGAAAGTGCTGTGTGCTGAACAAGTGCAAAATATGTACTGGAGATCTGCATTGTACCATGGAGAGGAAGATTTGGCCCCAGATATGTTGTTTAGTTAGCATGCAATGCCTTAAGTATTTTAGCACTGAAATACTTCACATTTGTTTGGTTTGGTTTCACATTACCCCTTAGGTTCATTTAAGAAAGGCGTAACAACAAATAGCCTTAGATTTACACTGTGAGCCAGGTTTTAATTTTGGCAGGTGCAATTGATGACGTGCAAAAGCTGTCACAAATTTTGTACGTGCAAGAAACCATCTGCACATGATTTTATGCGCGCGCGCATACACACACATACTGGGGAGGGCCTACTTAGTAGGCCCACTAATTCCACAGGGAAAATCAGAGGCCATCTTGTGGCTGCTAAAAGTATTGGGTCCTTTTAAGAGCACAATATTTGAAAACTTTCTCATAGTTTAAAATCATTGAGAAGAAACACAGTATGCTCATTATTTCTTTCTTTTTGGAACTGATTACCTTTAACAAACGTCTTGGTGTCAGCATAAGTCTTAAGAACCTCACTACTACTACTTTAGGAGAACAGCCTAACATGTCAGAATACATCTGAGATTATTAGTTGCACACAACACCACAGATCACGCCTAGAATGAGAAGATGACCGTATTCTGTTACTGTGTGCATTGGAGAAAACGAAATAGTAGACGTTGAAAGGTTTTAGTCCTATTTCCTTATTGATTAAAAATTAGCATAGATCACTACCGGGGCCCATGTTTCTCTGTTCCCATGAATAATATGGCTAAGTAATAGTGTCAGTTTGAAAGAGTGAAAGGGAAACCGAAAGAATGCAGATCACAAAAACCACAGATCTTTTCTGGGACAACGATCAAATATGTATTTGGGTTTTTTAATTTTTTTAAGTTCATGAAATGTACAACAATGTAAAAAAACCAAGTTCATCCTAATATAATGTACGTCTTGTATTGCTAAAAAAAGTCTTCAAACATACAGTGTAGAATGATTTTCCCATCATGTACTGCATGCAGCAGAAGCCTCTTGTTTCTTGATAAAATGAGCTGAAAGACAGTCAGCAGATATTTAAACAATGAATCTCTAAATGTTGACTTGCTGTTCCATATGAAGCTGTGTGTTTTCTGCAGTTAAGCATGCATTTTGCTGTTTCCGTTGTAAAATATCATTGCACTTGTTGCCTGCAAAATGAGTTAGTGTGTATATAGTTAAAAGAAAAATGAAACCAATAACAAGATTAAATTGCGGGGAGGGGGTGGAGGATGTTGGAAGTGGGACCAAGTAGGGGCAATAGATAATTCTCTAAATTGTATATAGTGTGTAAATTAGTATTACTATAAGTCTGCAGTCACTTTGAGGTTGCATACAGTACCTATCTCCTGCTAGGAACTTTAATCCAGCTTTGAGTTGTATTAAACTGTTAGAATTAGGTCTTGAATGCAGACTGTTAAAGACTTCAGGAAACATCATGCTCACAAGAAGCTTCTGTTCTGGGGAGGCTCAAGACCCATTTTGTAATTGCAGGGAAGAAAGGAGTGCTTTCATTTTAATATGCATTCTGTTTGTAAGTAGTAACAGGCCCTATCGATGTAAAACTATAACTGTGATCATGTGGAGAAATCAAATAAATCATTTAAAACTCTTTCTGTTTCTCATTTTTGTGCAGTGGAAGAACATCAGTTCTGCAGACTGGAAGAAAAGAAAATCATTTCAAGTGAAATGTTGACCCCCTGAAGTCAATGGGAGTTTTGTAACTGACTTCAAAGGGGCCAGGGTTTCACTCTGAGTGTTTAAGTTAAAGCTGAGGGGCGAGAATTGCAATTCTATTATCAAAATTCTGGTCCAATCACTTAAGGTTTTGGTTTGTTTAATGTTCATGTGGATGAGTGTACTCCTTAAGAAAGTTAAGGAGCAATGCAGCTGGTTTGAGCTGGACAAAGCGAGAGGTGACACTTGAGCAAGGCTCTTCACATGACCCTCCTAAGTCATTTTAACTTAGATATGTGGGAACCCAGTCCTGATGTTTCATCTTAAACAGAAACTACCTGTCATGACCAACTGGTTTTGTGCTGTGGACAAATCGGGGGGGAGAGGGGACTATACCAATATCTATAGTGAAAGTTTAGTTTTATTGTGTATATTGTTGGTGATTTTTTGTCTCTTTTAGAACCTGACCTCACTGAGGACCTGATCCAAAACCCATTGCAGTTAATGGGAGTCTTTCCAGTGGCTGTCAAAGATACATAGATTATAAGGTTAGAAGGGACCATTGTGATCATCTAGTCTGACCTGCATAACACAGGCCACAGGATTTCTATTAATTAATTCCTACTTCAAGTCCAAATAACTGTGGTTGAGCATATCTTTTAGAAAAACATCTAGTCTTGATTTTATGATTTCCAGTGATAGAGAATTCACCACAAGCTGTTTGTGAGTTATTCCAAGGGTTACATACCCTCCCTGTTAAAATGTGTGCCTTATTTGTAGTCTGAATTTGTCTAGCTTCAGCTTCCAGCCATTGGAACTTTTTGTACCTTTTGTCTGCTAGATTGGAGAGCCCTCAATTATCAAATATCTGTTCATAGGTACTTATAAACTGTGATCAGACTACCCCTTAACCGTCTATTGAATAAACTCAATAGATTGAGCTCCTTGAGTCTTTCACCATAAGGCATGTTTTTCAATCTTTTAATCATTCTTGTGGCTCTTCTATGAACCCTCTCCAATTTTTCAGCATCCTTTTTAAATTGTGGACACCAGAAGTGGATACAGTATTCCAGTAGCACTCGCATCAGTGCCAAAAACAGAGGTAATATAACTCCTCTGCTCTTCTTCAATTTCCCCATTTATATAGCCAAGGATCATTTTAGCCTTTTTGGCCACAGCATTACACTGGAAGCTCATGTTTTACTGTTTATCCATCATGTCCTCAATTTTTTTTTTCCACAGTCCCTGCTTCTGATGATAGTCGCCAATCTTGTAAGCATGGCCTATGTTCTTTGGATCACGCTTGAGAGTACAGGAAGTCCATTCCAAGCAGCAATTGGGTAGGCAGGGATTCACCACCTCTGTAAATGGTATCTCTGAAAAAATATGTTCCTGTTATCATCTATACCTGAATCTGTTTGTTATATAGCTTATCTTCCAAAACCGCAAGATGACCAAATTTATTTTCACATGTGACCTATACAGGATTTGAGGTTAGGTTCCTCCCATTGCTTTAGTTAAAATGCCTTGGAGAGTTCATTTGTTTCAGTTTTTGTTTTTCCTATTTTATTTCCCTGTTTTCAGGGGAATTATAATTAGGTTATAAAACCTCAATTAAGACTAATCTTGGCATATAAGAGTTCTGTCTAAATGTTGTTTTATGTTCGCTTGTTTGTTTATTTATTACAAATTACAGGAGAATCCTGAGTTGGTTTGGGGAGATAGTCAGCTGTGACCTATTTCTGAATTACTGTCACTGCAAGAAGTATATTCTGAACAATGATTGTTTGACAGGTAAGTACCCATACATCATAAGATGCCACCCACAGCTCCCCATTGTGTTGCATTAGAAGATAGTTTGTGCTACTACTCTGCCATATAAGCTCCTGATTTCATATCTCATTTACTGAGTAGAGGGACATCTGCAATAATGTAATCTATTGGTCATAATATGCCAGTCCTGAGAATTGCAGGAGTTGAAAAAAGTCTAGGTAAACCTGAGTTTCCTCTCCAGGGGAAAGGCGATCTGTTTCTTACTATGTGTATGTACAGTGCCTGTCACAATGGGGTCTAGAGATGTCTCAGTTGAGGCTCTAGGCACTACTATAAAAACAAATAATACATATAACTTTTCCTTATCTATCTTATTTGAATTATTTTAAAAGGAGGACCTAAATAGCCACTAACTCCTAATTGCCTGCAGCTCCCCGCCTCAGTTGAAGCCTAGTCTTCAACGATTTAGGATCCTCCACCACTGAAGCCAAAGGAAATTAGCATGTTCACAGGAAGTAAATGCTAGCAATTCTGGATATTGCATCAGTAGTAGCAACAGCATGAAATTTAAAGAAAAAAACATAGTGTACACAAGGCTTTTGTTACAGTCCAACTCATGTTTTAAACATTTGGCTGATGATTGACATTTTTAATTTACTTTTAGGCTGAGATTAATCTCAGGTAGGTTTTGCACATTTTGAAATATCTCCCGCCGAGCTTTCATGCACATGCCTACTTGGAGAAGGGTTCAGAATAAACAGTAATATTCCCTCACACCTGAGATTACAATCTAGCCCTAAAATAAGAAAACATTCCAAGTTTCCCAATAGAAAAATCAAACATTTTGGAACACAGAGCTCTAGTCTTTGAAATCTTATCTTCAAATTTATTCTCATTTTTGTGCATTTGATATACGGTAATGATATTCCGAGTTAACTTCTATCTAATGCCAAACTTTGCAAACGTGCTTTCAGCCCACAGTTTTTAAAAAGGGCCGTTTTATAACCATTTTCAGTGTTTAATCCTAAATTGTCAGGGAGATTGTGGAGATGACCTAGTCAGTCTTCTCGTATTTTATTTCTATGATCTGTGTGGAAGTCTGTATTGTTTGTTTCCTCGAATACTTGGCAATGACCAGTCAGTGACATTCACAGGAATTCTCTAGTCAGGAGCCTTATGTAGAACAGTTTTTAACACTTGCCATTTTAAACTACATGAACATTTACTAATTTATTTTGAATATATTCAGAGGTTGCAAGAAGCTCCACTTAACACTTAGTATTCATGAACTGCATTTGAAATAATTTAGGGTCAACAATTTCTCCCTTTTTTCATTCTCTCTTTCACAATAGTGCAGACATTGACTTACAGAATTACAGGCGCAAAATGTTTTCATTACTTTTTAACAAACATTATTGCTGACCCTGAACGTTGTTGATGGAGCTGGAAACATACTTGGCAAAGACATTGTCTTTTAGCCTTTCATGCAGTTGCTCAAACAGTTGTCACTAGATGTCAGGATTACGCTCCTGTTAGCATGATGTGATAAATTGTACTTCACCAAGTATATTTACTGACTGACTTAATTGTATAATATTAACAACGTATTACAAGAACATGCCACACTAAATCTATTACAGACTGGTATACTAACTTCTTTATATATAGTACAAGCAATTTTTTCATCGGGAAGCATCCCATGTACTAGGACTACTGAGTTGCCATTTAGAAATAGATAAGCTTCCTTGTTTATATAAAAGGCAAGCAGGTAAAGGTAACGCAATTAACTTAATGTACTTATGTAAAAGAAATGACTGTGGAAAATCTTACACATTTTTAAAATACCATTTGCTTTGTGGGAATTTTGGAAAAATATCGAGTAGTTCAAAGTTTAAACATTAAAATGGATGTTTCTTCGTGTACTGGGCAAAAATAATTTTCAGTATTAGCTGAAAACAAGATTTTTGCTCTTATAATTCAGACAAATGTATTTTCAGCTGCAGTAGATGTGTGGGAAGTTTTTTGAGCATAAAAACTATAAATAACAAGGATGTATGCACAAACTTCGGTACAGCACTGGAAATGCGCCCCTTTGGACATTAGTGTACATGAGAGAGAAAAATGCCTTGTTTAGGAATAATAAGGACAGTATATATGGCTGAAAGGCTAGTAACAATAGTGCAAAATGCCCCTTGCATCATGTCAGCCAAATTTAATTTTCTTTGCTAATGGACCCATAGTTGGCTAAAAGCTATGGATATGTATGAAATAAAGATCTGTTTGAAATAAAACAAATTCCACCAGCCAGGCAGAAATGTAATCTCAATAAGAATCTGGTGCTAATCAATATTGGACTATCCTAGGGTCTTACTGGAGTGATATGTAGAGTCATTCCAGTGTCTAATACTTCCCAGTGAGTGTAGATATGACGATGGATGAACAGTATTGGCCAGATTGTGGCTGTATGCTGTAAGGGAATGCAAGAGCATAGTGGGGAGAGGACAAGACCATACTAAGGGTTGCAGTATATGCACATGCTTGAGTTTAGGGAGGCACTGCCTCACCATCCCCAAAAGGAGCAAGAAACTAAAGCCAGAACTGAGACCTGTGTTGCTATGCTGTACGTCACAAGGGAGCTGCCATTAAAAACCCCAAACCCACATCAGTAGAGTATGCTATAGTCGTAGCCATAAGAAAAATATCACTGCCATATCCTCTAGTTATTTGCTATACCTGATTCATGTACATGAATAAACATACATGGGGCCAAATCCTGGTGCCCTTACTCAACTTTTACACTGTCCTTACTCAGGCAGAAGCCCCATTGGAAAGCGGAGGGTGAAATCTTTGCCGTATGAAAGTCAGTGGTAAAACTCCCATTGACTTCAGTGAGGCCAAGATTTCGCCCTGGGAGGTATGCCTGAAGAGAGACTGAGTAAGGACTTCAGGATTTGGCCCACTGATTGGAATCTGGCCAGTATAATGGGTTAGTGTACAATTAAAATTATAGCTTTCCAAATCCATGTCTCTGGAATTCATATTTTGAATGTTGCTTGCCAAAGCACGTACCCTACCTGATATGCACAGCAGAAGCAGCAGAGAGGTTTTTAATCACCATTTGCATATCTCTGCAGCTCTGAAAACTGCAACCTGTCAGCATGA